ATGCCGACCTTTTCGTCCTCGTGAGCTACACGAGCATGGTTTGGTTCGAGTACACGACGAATCCCCGCATGAGAACGGCCGTGCAGGAGATAGGAAGTGCCATGGACGCAATCGCATACTCCCAGAACACGCCCAGGCCTCTCAGGGAGAGATACGCCCAGGCGAAGGAGTACGTTAGAGCTAAAATGCCTGTAAAGCTCGCGGCTGGATGCTCAAAGGTCCATGGGAGCTAGACCCGCACGAATAAAATGCCTCTTTGCAAGAGCCTGTTTTCATCCCCGGATCATTTTGTCAGTTAGTGTTTTGTTAGTCAGTTAGTGTTTGTTGTTTGTTGTTTTGTTAGTATCTTTTGTTTGTCATTTAGTGTTTTGTTTGCTGTTTTTTCAGTTAGTGTTTTTTGTTTGCTGTTTTTCTCAATATTTAAATTCTCTATACTTTTTAACTTCTACACTCACTCTTTCTTTTAACTTCCCATTCACTTTTCATTCACTTTTCATTCACTTTTCATTCACTCGCACTCTCTACACTCATTCACTTTTCATTCATTCACTCTCTACACTCATACACTCTCTACTATACCCTCATTCACTCATTACACTACTCTCTATTCATTACACTCATTACACTCTCTAACCCCTCTTTATCTTTCTCAGGCACAGCAGAAAACACGTTAACAAGAATACCTGAATTCTCAGTGCATTTATTTCTTCACTCGTCTACTCCAGGGCGTACTCTATCCCCCCAGAGCTCTCCATCCCCGGGCGGTCTCCCTCGCACATCTCCACGGGAAGACCCACAAGCCGCCCAATCACATCAGCACTTCCCTCGAGGATTTCACTCTCCGGAGACTTCCGCACGAAGACTCGCTTGCTCTCACTCCGTCCCGAAGCCCTCGATCTGACCCCGCGAATGAACTCGAGGACTCTCTCCATCCTCTCCCCGTCTCCCGACATCTTCAGACTCTTCCCGTGCGGGTACTCCTCCACCGTAACAGAAGGCATCCACACGTACCCCGGGATCTCTTCCTCTCCCCAGCTCCCCTTCATCACGTGGTAAACCTCCTCCGAGAGAAACGGGAAAAACGGGTGCACGAGCTTAACAAACTCCAGGGAAATTCTGCGGATATTCTCGACTCCCTCCGCGTCTCTCCTCCCCTTGAACATTTCGAGGTAGAAATCGCAGAATTCGTATATGAGGAACTGCTGCACATCGACTGCTGCCTTCATGAAGTTGTACTCCTCAAGGGCTGCGGATACGCTTTCCGCCGTCTCCAGGAACTTCCCTGCGATCCATGCGTCTGCCTCCTCCGCAAGCGAGTCCTTCCTCCGCGTGGATCCATCCCCCTTCTGAGCGAGAACGTACTTCATCGCATTCCACATCTTATTACAGAGTCTCCTGCAGGATGCGACCTTCTCCACGCTCAAGTTTACGTCTCTCCCCAGGGACGCACTCGAGAGAAGGGCGTATCTGAGGGCATCACTTCCGCAGGCTTCAATTCCCTCCGGGTACTCCTGAGAAATACTCTCCTCTGCCCTCTCCACCTCCTCCCGCGAGAGATTCCCTGCCCGCAGCTTCTGGAGCAGTTCCTCAAGGGAAGTACCTGAAATAACGTCCACTGGATCGATGACATTTCCCTTACTCTTGCTCATTTTCTCTCCCTTCGCATCCCGTACGATACTGTGGAAAAGCACAGCAGAAAACGGGCACTTTCCTGTGAGTGCTATCCCCATCATGACCATTCTCGCGACCCAGAAGAAAACGATATCCCTCCCCGTCTCCAGGAGGGATGCGGGGTAGAACTTCCTGAAGTCCTCAGAGGATTCCGGCCATCCGAGCGTGGAGAAGGGCCAGAGTCCGGAGGAGAACCACGTATCCAAAACGTCTTCCTCCTGCACGACTTCTCCCCCTGCCTTTTCCTCTGCCTCTTTCCTCGTTCTTGCGATGAACCACTTTCCGTCTCTTTCGTATGCGGGTATTCTGTGACCCCACCAGAGCTGCCTGGAGAGGCACCAGTCACGGACATTCTCGAGCCAGTTATTCCATGTCTTCCGCATTTCCTCAGGGAATATTTTCAATTCTCCCTTCTCTGATGCCTCCAGGGCCTTTTTTGCGAGTTCTCTGCAGTTCATCCACCACTGCGGGGCGAGAAGTGGCTCAACGACTTCTCCTGTGCGGGAGCATACGGGGATGCTTGAAGGATGGCCCTCCTCTGAAACGAGCAGGTTCATTTCCTGGAGGAGTTTTACTGTTTTTTCTCTGGCGTCGAACCTGAGGTCTCCCTTAAAAGGTCCAACGGTCATTCTGTTATTTTTATCGAGGACTGAGACCATCTCCAGGCCGTGTCTGAGGCCTACCTCGAAGTCTACGTGATCGTGTGCTGGGGTTATTTTCAGGAGTCCTGTCCCGAACTCTGTCTCTGCTGCTTCGTCGAGGAGGAATCGCATCTCCTTCTTCGTGAGGGGGTTAATAGCTGTTCCTCCCTTCAGGTGGGAGTATCTTTTGTCCCCTGGGTTCGCGCACAGGGCAGCATCTGCGAATATTGTTTCTGGTCTTGTCGTTTGGACGTGGACTTCCTCTGCCTTCTCTCCCACGCGGACTTCGTACTTTACGGTGTAGATTTTCCCGAGGGTGTACTCCTTCCCGTCTGTGAAGACTTTGCTGTACGGGGGGATTGGGCGATAGTCTACCTCCAGGTCGCTGAGACTCGTCTGTATCTTTGCACACCAGTTTACGAGCCTATTCCCGCGGTAAATGAGTCCTTCCTCGTAGAACCTGACGAAAGCTTCTGTAACGGCTTCTGAGAGGTTTTCGTCCATCGTGAATTTCTCCCGGGAGAAGTCCAGGCTTGTTCCCAGGGACTTAAACTGCTCGACTATTCTGCTTCCGTACTGTCTCTTCCACTCCCAGACGTGATCCAGGAACTTCTCTCGCGTCATGTCCTTCCTGTAGAGACTTTTCTTCTCCAGGGCCTTCTCCACGACGACTTGAGTGGCAATTCCTGCGTGATCTGTTCCTGGGAGGTAGAGTGTAGAGTATCCCTGCATTCTCTTAAACCGGACGAGAGTATCCTGGATTGATGCCATCATTGCATGGCCTATGTGCAGGGATCCGGTGACATTCGGGGGAGGAAGCGGCATGAAAAAGGTCTTTCCGAGGGAGACTTTTCCTGCGTACTCCGGCCGGAAAAAGCCCTGCTTATTCCACCAGGAAAACCATCCATTTTCCACGGATTTCGGGTTGAACTGCCCGCTGAGCTTTTCCACCTTCTTCAGCTCTCCCTCCGGGATGCTCTCGGCCTCTGCAAATTCTATGCGTTTTTTCTCTTTTTTTGGCTCCTTCTCGGGGGAGGCCTTTTTGAGCTCCATTTTGCTCAGGAACTTCGCCATCTTCGAGATTTTCTTCTCGAGTTTTGCGCGTTTTCTTTCGTCTTTTTCTGCTGCAAGTGCTGCTTGTAGCTCGTCCATTTTTCATTTTTCATTTCGCATTTTTATTTTTAGATGTTTGTCCCAGAGTTGCCATACTCCTGCGTGGATCTCCTGCATACGACGTGCAATTCCGTATACTGGCTTATTCTTCTGGATTACTTCGGGATTCGGGAGTTCTGGGCTATACTTTTTGGGGGGACTCTGATACACTATATTGACACAGTTTCTGCAGGGTCTTTCTTTTCTCAGGTTCTATTTTTTGGGGCTGTAACGGCATTTCTCCTGAAGGCGAGGAAAGTCTCTTCTTACAGGTTCCAGGAGGTGTGCACGAATGAAGCTTCTATTACTATCAATGGGATGCGCCATATCGTGTGCAGCCTAGTCTGCATCTCCATATTCGCGTGCGACTTCTCAATATATCCCCTGCACAAGTACAAGAGCAAACACTTCGGGATTTCTCTGATGGACTTTGGAGTTGTCGTTTTTATGTTCAATGCGGGGATGATCTCTGCAGTAAGCCATAAATTCCGCCCTAAAAAGACGCTCTACATGGGAGTGATGGGGGTTATACGGCTTCTCGTGATACTTTCCGGGTACCACTCAGATCCAACGGAGTATGGAGTCCACCTGAACTTCTACTTCGTATACGCAGCAGCTGAGAATATCAGCCTGCTCTTCCGGGGGATTCAGCCGTTATTTGGGGCTCTTCTTATCCTGGGAGGGCACGAACTCCTCATAAACCAGCGGGGATTCGCTGACTTCGTCTTTTTCTCGGGAAGAAAGACCTTTTTAACGGCAAATCGGGAGGGTCTTCTCTCGATTATGCCGTACACGGGAGTTCTTCTCCTGGGAAAATCCGTTGGAAAAATTTTATTCACTCCTAAGGAGACGGGAAGAAGGAAGTTTTTGCGTCTCTCCCTCTTCTACGGGCTCCTGCACGCGGGATATTTCGTGTTTTCGCAGTTTTCCTCGCCCTCACGGCGGCTCTGCTCCTTCTCCTTCATCGCTTTCTCGTGCAGTGCGATCGTTCTCCCGATGTGCCTTCTCTTTGGGGTCTCGTGCTTCTACCGGATAGAGAATATCGAGTTTCTCTCGGGCCTGAGCCGCCTTATGAACCCGCTTTTTCTCCTGGCTAATTTGTACGTTCTCCTGGGAAATGTGCTCTTTGACTGGGCTGCCTTCTCCACGGGGCAGGCCCATCTCTGCAATGCCGTATACCTCCTGCTTCTCTTTGGAGTTCCCGTGCACGCGTACAGGAAGGGAATTCTCAGGGTAAAATAACGGAATAAATCAGGTTTTGATTAAAATTTTCTCTTAAATTTAAAAGTATCCTTATATCAGAAGAGTTGCCCATAAATCCGCTATTTTCTAATGCGGACAGTACCTGAAATAGACCCAGAGTGAGTGAACACTATTCTCCACAGTATAAGCAGAACAACCAAATAAAAGCCCCAGGCAGAACCCCCGAATTACAGCCTATTTCTAACGGTATTTTCATCTCAGGTCTTCCCTCTAGAAGAGAGAAGAAATATCTACGGGCTGCGTCAGTATCGCTACTGCTCCGCCTCTTTCCTTGAGTCTTTCTCCCTCCATCGTATACTGCGATATAATGCACACCTCAGAGTTTCCCTGTCGTGCTAGTTTCATGATCTCCTCAGCCTCCTTCCTCTCTTCTGGGAGGTCTGACTTTATCAGGCCGTCGGAGAGTATCAGCGTCTTTGCAAGGTAGTTCTCGCACGCACATTTTACTTCCTTAACTCCAACGGCAATTCCCTTCGTGGAAGTTTCCTCCAACCGGTAGAAAGAATTCAGGGCTAAAAGATCGTTTCCCTTTCTAACGCCTTTCAACTTCCTGAGAAGGTCTGGGGACTTGTATATTCCCTCGATCTCTGCTGTATCCCCTCGGTGCGTATTCGGGGAATTCACTGCCTTCTTTATGAATACTACCCGGTCCTTCAGGTCCTTCTGCCGGCGGAAGAACTCCTCTGCCTCCTTCTCCGGAGAAACTATCACAAAAGCCGTTATATTTCCTTTCAGGTGCGAGAGAACCTGCTGGAATAACTTCTCCCGGGACTTCACCTTCTCGGGAAGACCCACTCTCCGCAGCGTATACTCAGTCCCCAGAAGGAAAGAGTATCCCTCCTTCCTGCAGATCAAGTACGAAATAGTCGCTTTGTTCTCTATCGTCAGCCCCTCAAGGACTTTCAAGCTCGCACTGGAGATGTGCTCCTTCGTCAGGGAGACTCTCTGGTGGACGGGAACCTCCAAAGTGTGGAAACTCCCTACTTTTGTGTGCTCCGTCTCCGTCAGGATCTTTCCCTTCACGAAAAGTATCCCTGCCGCCAAGTCCACGCTCACTTTCTCGACTTCAACCTCCAAAAGAAGCGTAACCCGGGTCTTGGACTTTCCCTCGACCACGCTTCTGTGCGTAACTGTCTTAACCCTGTCGTTTTCCTCGATTATCCGGTACATCTCGTATATGTCGTCCACATCCTCCGGGAGCACGTCCAGAAAGACGCTCCACTTCGTCTGCATCTTTTTAAATATTTTCATTCCGTGTTTATTTTCTGTTTATTTATGCTTTTGGAAGCACTCTTATGCTTTTTCTCTCTGGCCGTGCAGGTATCTCTCCAGAAGGAAAGTGCCTGCATCTTTATTCTGTGCAGAAACTCCGATATAGATGCCATCAAAGAGACAGTTTCTGTTTTTGAGCAAAGATTCAACAGGAAGTTCGGGTATCCCTACGTGGTTGTTAATGATGTTGAGTTTACGGATGATTTTAAGCGGGAATTTTCTGCCCTTACGAAGGCATCCGTTGAGTTTGGGAGGGTTCCGGAGGAGCACTGGTCGACTCCCAAGTGGATAGATAAGGGTCGAGCGAAAGAGTCGATGCGCCGTCTCGAGAGTGCTCAAGTGATATACGGGGGAAGCGAGTCCTACAGGCACATGTGCAGGTACTTCTCCGGATTCTTCTTCCAGCACCCTCTCACGCTTAAATACCGTTATTACTGGAGAATTGAACCTGAAACGAGACTTCACTGCGACATAGAGTACGATGTTTTCGAGTATATGCGGGTGAATAGGAAGAAGTACGGGTTTACAATCACTCTGCACGAATACCCGCAAACTGTAACGAGTCTTTGGAGTACTATACAGAAGTTCGTCTCTTCCTACAACACCTTCTTCAAGGAGGGCGAGTACTGGACTCTTCTTGAGCCGTTGAATTTGCACCGGTTTATAACGGACGAAATGCATACGCGGTATAATATGTGCCACTTTTGGTCGAACTTTGAAGTTGGAGACTTTTCTTTTTTCCGGGGGAAGAAGTACCGGATGCTTTTCGAGTACTTGGACAAGTCTGGAGGGTTTTTCTACGAGAGATGGGGAGATGCTCCGATTCATTCGATAGCTGCTGCCCTGTTCCTGCGTGCGGATGAGATCCACTACTTTGAGGATATCGGGTATACGCATCCTCCATTCACGCACTGTCCGAAGCCTTCCCTTCAGAAGACGCACTGCAATTGCACTCCCTCGACCTCTGTCGATCTATCGATGCCTCTCTGCATAAACCTCTTCAGGAAGACTGTGAAGATGTTGGAAAAAAGTGTACATTCTCGAAAATAAAGTCTATTATTAGAGTACACTTTCTTTTTTGAAGATCCCACAGAATACTATCATAACAGTATCATAGTATTCTAACGGTATAACAGTATTATACCCATAATGTAACTTCAGGTTATAGCTCCAGTTGTACTAGCATATTATAGAAGTATTCTAACAGTATTCTAACTTGTATTATAACAGCATATTATAACAGCATTCTAACAGTATTCTAACAGTATTATACTAGAAGATTATAACAGTAATATACTAACATATTCTAACAGTATTATACTAGCATATTATAACGGTATTATTCTAACACATTCTAGCACATTCTAACACTATTCTAACACCTAACACTATTCTAACAGTATTATACTAGCACATTATAACGGTATTATACTAGCACATTATAACGGACAAACTCCGGGATAAAGTGTAACTCCTGGGCCTTTGGAGGGATTTCTCTCGATTATGCCCACACACTCTGCAGGTACTCCCAGACGGTATCCGCCTCTGGGGATAGTATGAGCCTGAGAACCTGTTTCAGGTAGTACGCAATAACTAGAGAGACTATGAGTACAAGTAAAAATACCACAAAGAGAGAGGGAATCATGTCTCTCGTGAAGGAGTCGGCTATTGACTCGTGGATGCTTATTTTCACTCTCTTCTCCACTTGATCCAGGCCTCGAACGTACGATCTCTGCAGGGACTTGATCCTGGAGAAAAGCCTGGCACATTCCAGGGTCCCAAACTGTCTTTCCGCGAGATCAAAGGGAAGTATAACCAGCCGCACCCCCAAACTGTTCAGGTACGTGTTTACACAGCATTTAACTAAGGCTTTGTCCACCTTGCTATAGTCATCCATCCCCTGGACCACCTTCAGAACCTGAAAATTATTCCTGAAAACCGTTAGAAGAGCCTTCTTCTTCTGAACTATCGAGCAAAGTTCGCCCCACATTCTCTGAATGTTTTTTACTAAAGTTGAAACTTCGCCACTTCCCAGAGAGTGAATCTCCACGTGCAGGACAAGATATCGCATGATCTCCTGGAGAGTCTGCATTTTTGAGAGTTTTCTGTGCAAGGACCCTTTTCCCTGCAGATTCTCCGAGAGTTTCCTGCAGGTTTTCACCATCTTCCTGGAAGCTTCTATTTCCAGGGCTTTACACTCCTCCAGGCCCGGGATAAGCTCTTCCATGAGCTCGTAGTAGTACTTCTCCAAAGCCCGCGGGCTGTGAATGGCTGCTGCCAGGCGCATGTTCACCGTCTCGGAAACGACTGCGCCCACCCGAAATCGCGTCTTCTCGTCTCTTCCCGGGGGAAGACTCGAATTTTTCCCGTCGAGAAAAAACCCGTACGGATTTATAATTTTTGGAAGGGCTTTCCAGAGGCAGAGAAGTCTCGCTCGGTGCTTGAAGATCCCGCGGAGGATTAAAAGTGTCTTAAGCGGGAGCCCTCGGCTTGCGAGCATGTAAAACGTGTTTTCCCTGGGGTGTGGGACTGTTTTTCGGAACTCTTTGATAAAGTGCACGAGAAGTTCGGAGTTTGTGTGGAGGAAGTCCATTCCCTCGTCAAAAAGAGTTTTCCCCTGCTCCGAAGGCTCCAGGAGCTGAAAGTATCCGCACGAGGCCATTCCCTGCCGCCCGAAAATGCTCACTTGCACTGTATACGCCAGATCTATGAAGGAAAGAGCCGAAAATAAATCTGAATTTTCACAAAAAGATTTTATCCTGGAACCTGAATTCGCCATACCTGAAAGGCAGTTCAGGTACACCTCAAACTCAGCAGGGCCTATTCCTTTGTGGATGCACCAGATACTTTGGCTCCACACAGATACTTGCTCGTTCACTCTGGAGATGAAGCTTCTGTACTTCCCTCCGAATATTTTGACCTCTTTTTCCGTTAGGTTCGCGAAGAGAATCTCCACGGAGCGCTCGAAGGAGCCTGAGGAGGGAGGAGGAGGGTTTTCCAGGAGGCTCTGCAGGATTTCCACGTTTGGGTCGCAGGGGGACCAGAGAATGTTCTCTATAATGTGCTTGAGCACGTTCTCGAGCATTTCCGCAATTTCATCGTCTGTATCCTCAAAGCATGCGTATATTCTCTGTGTGAGGAGGGAAATGCCTGAATTTCGGGAAGTTTCTTGGGCTGTGCCTGAGCTGTTCCTGAATGCATTCTGGCGGTATTCTGCTATTATGCTGTTTGTGTCCACTCTTATGTAGAACAACTGCGCCTCTTCTGTCATCGCTTAATTTCTGAAAAATATTCTATCTTTATTTTTTACTTAGTGTGCAGCAAGTATTCGGTGATAGATGCCTGCCATTTTGGGTATAGTGCGCAGAAATTTATACTTATGGTGCGGTGTGCAGAAAGCACTGCTTTTTATACACTGTGCAGCAATTTATACTTATGGTGTGGTGTGCAGAAAGTTCGGGTTTATTTTTCTATTTTTATGCAGTGTGCAGCAAGTGCTGCCTTCTATTTATTTATGTACTTTTTTACGATGTCTTCTATGCTGTCTCTTCTTACGTATTCGGCCTCTTTCAATTTATTAAAATGGTCTAATATTTTGCTGTAACTTTTGTGCGCTTTATTTCTGTCTTTTTCCGGGGAACTGTTCTCTCTCTTTTTAGTGTCTTCTAGGATAATGTACGAGCTGTCCCAATCATCCATAAAAAATGCAAAAAAAATATATATATAACAGGCTTTACTTGCTGCGCCCTGTGCGGGAAGTCTGCCATTTAGTACGCCCTGTGCAGCAAGTTCTGCCAAGCACAGGACTTATTCCACACAGTCTAGCAAGCAGTCTATGCGCCAATTAGCACGCAGTGTGCAGCAAGTCCGGTGCTTACTACACAGGGCATACTAACTACTGCTAAATCCCAACAAAAAGCCTGTGTAAACAGCTCATTGCAAGACGCAAGCCGCCGTCCAGAGCTAAGCGGTGATAAACCCAGGAGTAGCCACCGCAGAGTATAACAGCAGCAGAGTATAATAGACTGCAACAGAGCACCGTCATAGCAAACTACTATAACAATATTATACTATAACAGCATACTATAACAACAGAATACTATTACAATAAGCTAGCATAACAGCATACTATTATAATCCAAATAGAACAGACTATTATAACAGCAGACTACTATAACAGCATACTATTATAATCCAAATAGAACAGACTATTATAACAGCAGACTATTATAACAGACTACAAAATTATTATAATATAACAACATACTACAACAACATTATAATACTATTCTAACAGCATACTATTATTACAGACTATAACATTATTACACTATAACAGCAGACTATTATAACAGCATACTATTATAACAACAACATTATTATACTATTATAACAGCATACTATTATAACAATATTATACTATAACATCTGCCCGTGCAAGTATGCGGGACTTCGTGTATTCTGGTGAAACGTGTCTTCTTTATTTCCGAACTCTACTTCTTTGCAGGCTTCTTCTTTGAGGCTGTGAAGTATTCTGGGGCTCTTGCCTCTGTTGCGGCCTTATCGAGGACCTCGTGGATGATTCCGACTCCGATTGTCTTCCCCATGTCTCTGAGGGCGAACCTTCCGAGGAACGGGAACTCTGCGAACTTCTCCATGACCGTTGGCTTTGAGGGGACGATGATGACTCTTGCGCAGGGTCTAGTTCCTGCTATTTCCGAGGGTCTGTCTGCGGTTACGACAAACTCCTTCCCCTTCTTCGTTCCTACGTCGCACAGCTGAGCGAATACGGTGCTTACGTGGGTTGCTGCGATATCCATAGTTGGGGCGTATCCTGCCTTTATGCACTTAACCTTTCCGATGAAGATGACGGTTGCGTAAGCAGCGAAAGCCTTCATGCACGGGTTCACTGTATCTGCGATGACTGCTCCTGGCTTGATCTTATCTGTGTCTGGGTTTCCTTTGAGGGTGAGTCCGCAGTTTTCTCCTGCCTCGACCTTCTTTCTTGCTGTCTTGTGGATTTCCATGGTCTTAATTTCGGTGTTTACTCCTACGGGTGCGACTGAGACCTTCATTCCTGCGAGGCAAGTTCCCGACTCGATTCTTCCTGTGTAGACCTTTCCGATTCCCTTAACTTCGAGGATCTGGGTCACTGGCATCCTGAGGGGTGCAGTTGTCATTCTCTTTGGGATTGGGTAGTAGTCGATAGCCTCTTCGAGGGATCTGATGGGGGTTGCTGTTGGCTCTTCTTCTGGGGTCCATCCTGCGAACCACGAGAACTTCTCGTCTGCTCCTGTGAGACCTATTCCCTTGAATCCTGAGATAGCTACGATGGGAGTAGTCTTCATGTTGTACATTTTCTTCATCTTTCCCTTGATGTTTTCGCTGATTTCTTCGAATCTTGCCTTTGCAGCTGCGTCTGATCCGAGGGTGTCGAGCTTGTTGATGGCTACGATGGCCTTAGATACTCCGAGAGTGTGAGCGAGTACGATGTGCTCGTAGAGAGTTCCTGTTTCTGTGATTGCTCTCTCGAACTCTCCCTGTGCTGCTGGGACGATGATGACTGCTACGTCAGCCTGAGCTGTTCCTGTGATCATGTTCTTCAGGAATCCTCTGTGCCCTGGGCAGTCGAGGATGTTTACGGTGTGCTTTGCTGTTTTTACGACCTTCATGGAGACCTGGATGGTAATACCAGACTCACGCTCTGCCTTGTTGTTATCGCAGAAGAAAGCGTAACTGAAAGATCCCTTTCCGTGCTCCTTTGCAACTTCCTCCAACTTCTCGAGGGTTCTCTTGTCGATAGCTCCAAGCTTGTAGCACAAGTGTCCGATGGTAGTACTCTTACCACTGTCTACGTGCCCAAGGAAGCATACGTTTATGTACTGTTCTTTGTTCTCTGTCATTGACATGGGATAAAAAAATTGCGAAATTTATTCTTTTATTTTTGCAAGAATTAAAGTAACTGTTTTCAGGCTGGGAAGACAGGGGTAGAAGGGAAGAGGGTAGGGAGAGGAAAAGGGAATTTGTAAAGTGTGCTGGGAGTGAAGAATGTGGCTGGAAATTTAGGAAGGAGAAGGGTCTTAAAAAAGTCCATAGAAAGTTCATGAAGTCAGAATGCGGGTTGAGAATAGAGAAATAGCTCAAGAACAACCCGAATAAGCAGCAGTCAGAGCAGTCAGAGCAGTAAACAATAAGAATAGCTAGTAAACAGTCAAAGAATAGCTATATTGTAATAATGAATAGTTATAGAATAAATGAATAGCTAGTTAGTAAACAATAAGAACAGTTATAGTGTAATAATGAGCAGTTATTTAGTGAAACAGGTCACACTTGGGAAATAAGCACAGATGACACTCTCTCGGGCGTGGGTTCTGTCCTGCACTTGGAAAATGACTTTTTGTTTTTATTTTATTTTTGTTTGCCTGGAATGTCTCTCTTAATAGGATACGCCGTGGCGAAAAAGTCCTACGAAAAGTACAAGGCAGGCGAAGACCCTCTCGTGAGCAGCCAGGATATCCTGAAGAATGGATTTTTAGACCCGAATTCCAACTATACGGTCATATCCTGTCGGGAGTGGGACGCCATAAACGCAGAGTTCCTGTGCGATGCAGCAGTTCCCGTGGGAAGAGTCCGCATGCACGTTACAGTAAGCCCTGACGGAATCTCGAAAGATTTTGCAGTCCCTGCAGGAGAGAAGCTCTTCAGCGTGATCCGAGTCGTTCTCTTCTCGGAGAAGATGTCCCTCGAAGAGTTCCAGCAGAACTTCGCCTGCACAGTCTCTCCCCCCGTGGGAATGGGAGAGTCTCTCGTGCGGGGAGAGTCCGCTGAAATATCCGTGAAAATCACGAGAAAAGTCTCTCCCGAGAGCCTGCAGGACGAGAACAGACCCGTTGAGTTTCGGAATGTGGGACTTACTTGCTACATGAACACGGCCCTGCAGGTCCTCCTGGGAGTCAGCGAACTCTCAGACGCCGTCCTGCAGATCTCCCAGGAGGAAATTCGCGAGTTCGCCGCCCGAAAAAACACCAGGCAGGGATACGACCGAGAAAAGTGCGGAGTCCTCCTGCAGGCGTATAAAGCCCTCGTTAAAACTGCGCGCAGGAGGGGAGACTGCCTTGGGAAGCTGAAGGAGATAAAGAGGGCTCTGGGAAGCATAGATCCGCGATATAGAGGATGCTCTGAGGAAGACGCAGGGGAAGTTTTCTCCCTGATCCTGAACAATTTCAACTACCTCTTCGAGAAAACCCCGTATGAAAGCCTTATCCCCGACCTCTTCGTATACACAGCAGAGTCCGTGCGAGTCCTTCGGAGTCACGGGGAAGTTGTTGGGAGGAAGGTGAAGCCTCTCTACAGATCCTTCGTCTTGAACGGGTCTTTTGGGTCGGAGGGAGGACCCCACGGACACGTTCTCGTGATCCATCGGAATCAGCTCATCACAACGGGACTCTGTTTATACCAGGGAAAAACAGTCGGGGAGATCCGGGAAAGCGTCAGCAGGAAGTTCCAGGAGCCGGTCTGGAAGGTCCTTGCAGTGCAGATGGAGGGAGAGCGCATCCGGAAGGTCCCAGATGCAGAGCCTTTCTCCTTCAGGAAGAACCTCCTGGAGCAGTCTTTCGTTTACGTAACGGATGAAGCCCTGGAAGACGCAGAATTTCTCTTTATAAGTTACACTCCGGGGATTGAGGGCCTTTCCTTCCTCGCATCTTTTTTTAGCGGAGTGAAAAATGTCTTCCAGATCCCGTTTCTCGTCCGGAAGAAGTGCAATATCGCACAGTTCCTGGGGGAGAACCTGAAAATAAAGAGGCGAACTGACGTCCCAAATACAGTCCTGGAGATAAAGCACAGCAGAGAGGAGACAGAGGAATACTTCGGGTCGATGGTAGTAGCACTCACGAATAAGTACTGGGATGCAGCTGAGCATATAGAGAGCATAAAAAACAGAAAGTACGAGGTAAGAGACTGCGTCCACGTGCAGTGCGTAGTAAGTAACTGGGAGAGTCCGTCCCGCGAGAGGAGGGAGGAGGAGGGGAAGGAGGTCGAAGAATTCACGCGTTTCAGAGGATTCTCGAAGTATTTTTGCGTTCAGCTTCCCGTGGGCCTGGGGAAGGGAGGGGAGAAGTTCGACAGGCAGAAGTTCTTCGTGGAGAAGGAGGGCCTTGTTTTGGACGGGGCTGCGTACTCTCTCGTTGGGATTCTGGTCCATCACAGCTTTGGGATAGGAGGGCACTACGTAGCATTCACACGGCGTGGGGGGATGTGGTACCACTGCAACGATAGTAGCATCACAAAGTCCTCAGCAAATGATGCAGCTTCCACGGGGTATCCGTACGGGATTTTATACAGAAGAGCAGACCCGTAGAAATAAATAGAGTCTTGCAGAAGAAAAAAGGCTAGTTTTCCTGTACGAGGGCAGAGTATTCCGTATTCTTTTTATTTTTTATTCTTGCAAATTTTTCAAAGAGCCTTGGAAAATGCTGTGCTTTCTGGAGGCGCTGTATTCATAGGAAATTAAAGAATAAATTCGGGTTATTCAGGCAGAGTTTCGAGTAGAGAATTATTTTTGTCATAAATTCGGGTATTGGCACTAGATGGAGGAATGGGGTATTAGAGGTGATGTGCCCTATAATCGAACGGAGTATTGTATGCTGAAAGCATAGTTGCTCGTAATTGTTATTGCTTATTCGGGTTATTATGAGACAAATTAAATACTGTCTATCTAAGCAGTAGAAAAATAAAAAAGGATATGATTTTCACATGATTACTTCCTGTATTACAACTATTACTCAGATATACTTACTGCTATTTCTGATGTGATCTATAATTTAGGCAGATCGTATTTCAGCGGTCTTTTTATGGCTTTATTTTCAGATTTATTTTTGCAGGAGAGACGCAGAATATTTGGCTGTTCGTGCCTGCTGAGTTGGCGGACAGATATTTTTATTTTTATTTCTTTCGGGATATGCTCTACTTCTACTTTATTTACACGATCACTCTCATGTATTTATACGTTAATTTGGGAACGGCCTTTTTATTTTGCAACTTCAGCGGGGACTATTCGAATCCCTTTATAGTCTGCGTATTCGGACTGTTCTGCGGGGTGCTGTACAGGATCGTGCGGCAGTGGCTTAAGATGGCGCATGTTGTGATGGGGGCGTATGAGGGATAGATTTTTCAGGTGATTTTTTGGAGTTCCCACAGAATTGGAGACGGAATGATCATTTTGATTGAACTCTCAAGCCTCTGAAACATGTAATTGATTAGTGCTCGCTAAAAGTATAAATACGCGAGACAATTTTATATAGAGAAATAAAATGCAGAAGTAATACCAAGGAATTCTAAACATCGAAAATCACGGCATTCAACAGTCGACATTTATAAAGCTCAAAAGGCTAATAACTCTTTATTGGAGCTTATCTTAGACCAAAGTCAAAGCATAAGCTGGACTTACAACATTTTGTATAAAGTGCAGTTTTCATCTCATTCTGATTTATTCCGTTTCTAGGGCGAGAGGAGACTGAGCTCGTACGGGAGGTCTCGAAAGAGGTTTTTAGGCTCCTCCGGGAAGGGGGAGGTTTCACTTCCCCAGTGCAGAGCGTGGGCTTCCTGGGCTTCCTGGAGATGGGATTTCAGGTGATTTTTGCAGCGGGTATTTTCGATTATCCGGCGAAGTGCGTGCTCGTAGGACATTCCCGGGGCGACTTTCGAGAGGGCGAATCTCCGGATGTGCTCATCCTCGCTCCCCACGGCCTCGAGGAGGGCACTCTCCGCACTCGCACACCCTGAATGACCCGCACAGATTTTTTCAGGGCCAAAAATTTCAGGTACTCCGAAAAGAGCATTTTTAACGGTTTCCGGGATGAGATCATGTTGGGAAAGCACGAGATCAGTGGACTCCCGGGATTTCCGGAAGAGGATTTGCTCGATTTTCCTGCGAGTCCGCATGCACGCACTCTCCCCGCGGATTTCGAGGAGAAGCTTCTCCTCGGACGCGTCGATGACGTTCACGCGGCAGAAGAAGACGAGGCAGGAAAAGATCCCGTCAGCACTCCCTGCCCGTTGGAAGTGCTGGAGACAGTCGAAAAGGACTTTTCTCGAATTCTTGCAAACAGATACTTTCGAGTACTTCGCATCCTCCCGGGAGTTTAGCGTCTCCTTGCACATTTTCTTTATGAGGACGGTGTAGAGCATAAGAGCAGTATTCCGCACTTTCCAGCTGCTGTGCGTGATCAGGAGGCAGGAAAGGAGGAAAAGAGACGGCTCGTACACGCGCATATCGTACTTGAAAATCCCGTCTGCAGAGATGCTCTTGAGGACGTTCATGAAATGGATGAGGTGCTTCTCCCCGCGGATTTTTGGCTCCGACTGAAAACTCCGGGGGGAAATGCTGAGTTTCACGAGGGGATGCTCGTCCGCGAGTGTGAGGGAGAGATTTCTCTGGACGGGCGTAAAGTCGTGCCGGTTCTCGATGAGGGAGAAGGCACTTTCCAGGCATCTTCTTATGATGTAGTGAGTAGCTGTTTTTTCCCTGATATTTCCCTCGGAGGCACTCACTGCCTTAAAAGCGTACGGAATTCCCCCGTCTCGACGGATATTTTTCAGGTCTCTCCGGAGAATCTCCTGGAAAAGGGATTTCGCCAGGGAGAGAGTCTCCTCTGGGCTGTCCCTGTGCACGAGGATGTTCTTCACCGCGTCAGAAGCCATCATAATCAGGCCCACGTGCCCTCCTACCGTTAGAAGTCCGTTTATAAGATCGTTCAACGGAGAAAGATCGTTTCTTGTGATTGCATAGACTGTCATAAAGGAGATGCACTCCCTGACAGCGTACCATCTCACCGCGTAATTCTCCCCTTTCTCGTGCACTCTCTCCGCATTCTCCTTCGCCCTTTTCTCGGAGACGTATATCTCCCGAGTCTGCAGCACCTGCAAAGAGGCCTGGAACTCCGGGAGGATGCACTCCCTGTATATCTCCCCCAGATCTGCCCGTACTTCCACCGTGTACGTTGACTCCACAGGAACTTCCGGAATTTTCAGCGTCTTTTTCTTCCTTTTTTCCGTTAAAATAACGGGATTCAGGCGATTTCCTTCGAGGAGAATCTTCTCCCTGGGGAGGGCATTGAATACGCTCCAGAGCACGAATATTTCCCGATGAACATCCTGACCCGGCTCTTTCCCCCGGATTCTCCCGACAAGTTCCCCGACAAATTCCGAGAGATTCTCCCTCCTCCGCAACTCCGCAGTGAACAGGAGAGTCATTCCGTGCAGGTCTGCCTCCCTCCCGAATAGAATCGTCTCTCTCACTTCCCTGCAAGAGAGGGATACGGGATACGTCGCAGATACTTCTCGAATCTCCTTATGCGCGTCTGAGAGGGCCTTTACAACTGCACTCCTCCATCTTTTCTCTGGGACGTACTTTCTCGTGATGCGATTCTCGACCAGGCCCTTCAGGAGGTGGACTCCCTGCAGGACTCGGCAGTAGTTGCTCCCGTGGGCCATGGAAAGAACTGTCTCCACCATCCTCTGGAAGTATCCCATCCTCCTAGAGACTTTTTCAGAGACTTCCCCGATGGAGAGAAGGTACTCGTGCTTCGTGATGACGCTATTCCGGAGGTTTCGGATGAGAGTCCAGAAAAGTGCTCGGACTCTCTTCTGGTTCTCGCACACGAGGACTATTTGGTTACTCTCCAGCCACTTGCAGGCCAGTTCGAGAGACTCTCCAGAGTCCCATCTCTGCACGAGACATTCGAAGTACTCGACGCGAACGTGCTCATTCTCCACGGAGTGACACCTTTCAACGACGAATCCTGGGAGATTCCTGGAGTCCCGAGCAAAAAAGACGCAGTTATCCGACCCACACTGTACAAGGACCTCAAAAACCCCTTTTCTATCGGACTCCTGCATTCCCTCTGCGAGTATTCGCACATTCCTGCTTCCTACACTGTTGAAATCCACCTCCTTCAGGGACTCTGCATATTCCCCGAACTCCGTCAGGAGAAGGAGTTTTCCCACTTTCTCCCCGGACTTCTTCTCGTTCAGGAGGAAAACATCGCCTGCAGAGAGAGAGCATTTCTCCTTCATCGCCAGCATAAGCTCAGTCCTGCTCTGGGGGGACCATCGACTATTTTCCAGCAGGAGAGAAAAGCCTTGGACTCCCCGCATCTCCTTCACCACGGACTTTACGACCTTCCGAATCACAAAGTGGGAATTTCCCATTGCCTGATCGAGAAGAGGCACTAGAGCCTCCTCGCACTCTCCAGGGGCTTCTTCTCCTGCAGGATTCGGACTATTCAGGTTATTCGGGTCATTCAGGTTATTCGGGTGCGATCTCCGCATCTGCTTCACGAGAAGGAGCAGTGTCTCGTATCCGACCCTTTGCTCGTGCGTGGTTCTCAGGGGGGATATTTCCCGGGCGAGTCTGGAGATGTTTTCAGGTACTTCCTGGGAATTTGTCAGTTGGCCCTTCAGGAAGACGATATAGTCTATCCCAGAGCACTCTTCCGTGCTTTCCACCGTGTTTGAGCACTCCCCAGAGAGAGCTTCTGCACACTCTCCGACGGAATTCGAGTGGTATATGTGGCCTCCGTGGATTTTTTCCTCCAAAAAAGCCGATTCTAAAACCTTCTTTTTAAGGTGCTTCTTGCAAAGGGCGTGCAAATCCGTCCCTTTTCCTGCGTGTGAGCTCTTCTTCTGCACTTTCTCCATAAAAATTTGTCAGTTCGCCGGAATTCTTAAATAGTTCTAACAGTTCACCGAATAGTTCTAGTAGTTCTAATAACAGTCAGAATAGTATATTTAGCACTGAATACTCTAGTTATCACTGAATACTCTTAACAGTCAGAATAGTTCTAATAGTTTAACAGTCAGAATAGTTCTAGTAGTTCTAACAGTTTGAATAGTTCTAGTAGTTCTAATAGTTTAAATAGTTCACTGAATAGTATGAATTCTCTGAATACTCTAAATAGTTTAAATAGTATGAATAGTTCACTGAATTCACTGAATACTCTAAATACTCTAAATACTTCACTTAATACTCTGAATAGTATGATGAATTTATCGGTGAGGAACAACTGCAAAGACCAGATGCTTTATTTATACACTCCCGGGCTAGTTTGCGCGGAAACTCAGTGCAGCCAGGCAGGATATGCCCACGATAGACCCTGCAAGCAGAAAAACAACGAGCCAAAGGGACGACTCCTCCTCAACCTCTACATCCATGCTGATCTCCTCCTCGCTGCTGCATGAAGGCGTATCCCGCAAACTTATCTCCAAGAACTCTCCGTAGTCAGAGTCAAACTCTCCCATGGAAAAGAAAAAAGTACTCCATAATTACCCAGGCAATTACGGGACAAAGTACAGGAGTCCCTCCGAAGAAGAAATAAGTCCTCGCTCCTGCAGGGAGTTCACATACCCCTCCAACTCCTGGTCCTCCAACTGAAAGTTTCTCTCCAGGGCTGCCTGCAACTCCTCGCTCGACATTCCCGTCTTCTCTTTGAGTATCCGCACGATACGGGCTTCAATCGCACTCCTGGAGTACGCGTACTTCGCAGCAGAATTCTCACTGAGCACATCCTCTATCTCCGGGACGAATATTCCCACTTTCTTCTGCGCAGAATCAAGGCATATCTCGTACTTTCCGTTAATTTCAACGACTAAACTCGCACTTTTCAGGGTCTGAACCTTCCGGAGAACAAGGGCCTGCGTCTCCTCCGTGCACTCGACCATCAGCGCCCCCACGAGCTCCTCCAGCGCATGAGGACCCACTCGCACGAGGAGAAGAAGGATCGATCCCTGGATCACGTCGCACTCGATCTCCGTCTCGTCCAAGTGCAGAGTCACTGGGGATACGGTAGGACAGAAAAAAAGCGTATACTTTCTCCCCTTCTCCGTACAGTACTTCTTAACGGACTCCCACATCTCCTCCAACTCTGCGGGAATGTGCATCTTTACAATGGGATAGTTCCACCGCGTGTACGACAGGAGGAGGCACTCCGTCTCCACCTCGGGCTTTGCCGTTCTGAAGTACATCTCGCTCGTGGCGACGTCTTTTATGCAGAGCAGGATCTCTTCGAAGTTGCTCACATCGTAGGATTCGCACAAATTATAAAGTGTACTTTGATCGATATAGTCCGAGAGGGTTTTGTGCAGCTTTAAATTTTTCTTGAGGGAAACCTCTCGATTCTGCTCTATCCGCCGAACAATCACGCAGATAAGGCGCTTCTCCACCGTCGAGGGACTCCCGAGGATGAGCCTGTTCTTGACCCCCACCGAAAACTTCACCCAAAAGGCAGGCTTATGCGCGGGAATGCAGGAGACGAAGAGAGACATCTCGAGGACAGGCTGTTTGGGCATTTTCATGTGCGTATCGATCGACTCCAGAAGGTCGTTCTCGAAGGCGCTGGAAGGTTCTTTCATTATCCCGTGGAGGCGTCTTGCGACAATCATCTCAAAGACTCGTCGGACCTTCTTCGAGGACCTTGGCATGCAGCTGAAGTGTTTCCCCATGAAGATGCAGAACTTCAGGAGGGACTTGCAGTCGGAAGTTTTCTCTATGACCTTCACGCACATCATCAGCACCGTATTCATGAATATGTCCTTTCCCCTTGCAGAGTTATCTATGAAGGAGTAGAACGGAGATATTTCTGCGTGCGTCTTCTTGTTGATTCCACTTCGCATCATCTTCGTGACAAACCCTTCAATGAACGTCTTCAGGACTTGGTCGTCTACCTTCTCCTCCACCATCCGGTAGAGATTTCTCTTGTTTCTCTCCTTTCTCTTGAAGAGGCTGTCCACAGCTGCGAGCTTGTAGTATATCGCTGCGTGGGACTCGCCCTCCTTCTTCGTCGCTGCGAACTTTGCGATGCTGTTGAGCAGTTTCTTCAGGGACTTCTTCTTGTTCGCTATCTCGCAGACCCGAATGTACGACTGGACCATCACCCGGAGAGTTTTCAGGTGTCGGTAGTAAACGCTTTTATCCAACGGCTTTTTCACCTTCATCTGCGTGTACTCCCGCAGGCCCTCAATGAACATCGGAACTATCAAGTTCTCTCGGTCGCTTATAAGCATCGAATAGAGTCTCTCGAAGTAGAGCATTTTCAGCTCCATCACATTCGCATTCGATATTTCCAGGTTCACGCGCACGAAGTACCTCGAGAGGAAGGAGAGCATCCTGCATATTTTTTCATTTGCCCGAATATATGCGTCCACAAAACGAACAAAAGTCTCCAAAGTGTAATCTGCAGGGAGCCTTTTCAAATGCTTTATAAGAGCCTGATCGTACAGCTTATATACCTCCGCCCCCTCTATTATGTACTTCTCGTGCGTATTCTCCGTGCAGTACAGATATACAGCATTGTACCCATCCATGAAAACCCTGCACAAATTCTCTCCCTCTGGGCTCCGCATCATCGTATCGATCGACTCCTTTACCACGGACAAATACGTCTCCTTCTCTGTGTCCATTATTTCTCGCATGTATTTCATTTCTTTTGTATTTTTTTGTTCGAAAAATAACCAATGGGATACAGAGTACTTGTAACTGGCACGCCTGGGGTGGGAAAGACCACTCTTTGCAGGCACCTGAAAGAAGTACTCGGGTGCAAGCACCTGGAGATCAGCAGCATAATCGAAAAAAAGAAGCTTTTCACCAGAAAGTGTCCCGTCTACGATACGCTGGAGTACGACTCCTGCGCGGTCGAGGAGTACCTCCGGAAAAAGATGAAGGAAAAGGGCAGCTACATCGTGGATACGCACGATCCCGAGTGTGTATCCTTCGTGAAGTTTGACGTAATCGTGGTTCTATCAGCAGATCCCGGGGTTCTGTACGAGAGGTACAGGAAGAGAGGGTATAACGACACAAAAACAGACGAGAACCTGCAGGTGGAGATAATGGAGGTCGTATACAACGATGTGATAGAGTGCGTCTGCGAGGACGAGGAGGAAGTATCCAGGATCATACGCGTGGAGACGGCCTCAAAGGAGAAGACAAAAACTCTCGAGGAGATTCTAAAGGAGATATCCGAGAGTCCAGAGTGGAGCCAAATAGTCCGAAGCACCCCAGAATAAATATAGATAGACGAAAGACTCAGCCAGGACTCCCATTTGAAGCTTGGATTATTTATTTCTTCATTCCCTGTACATCTACAGGAGTACATCTACAGAAGTACATCTATAGGAGTACTATTCTAATTGCATTTACCCTGTACTTACTTCGTACTGCTTAGACTATTCGTACTTACTACGTATTTACCCTGTACTTACTTCGTATTAATTCGTATCTACTACGTACTACTCTACTTGCATTTACTCTGTACTTACTACGTACTTACTTCGTATCTACTCTGTAATATTCTACTTGCATTTACTACTCTACTTGTACTTACTCTGTACTACTCTACTCTGTACTATTCTAATTGCATTTGCCTCGTATTAATTCGTACTTACTTTGTATCTACTCTACTTGTACTTACTCTGCACTTGTGCTATTCGTAGAAGGTGGGGAGTCTTCGATGGGATATTTCGTACTGCTGCCTTCTATAGTGTATGCTCTCCGGGGATGCAAATGTGTCCGCCCGTGCTATCCTGAGAAGAGCTGCAAACTCCTTCTCCTCCATCCGGGGAGTGCTTTTGTTCTCGAAGAAGTACTGCGCAGACGCTTTTAGGATCGACCCAGTCCCCTGCGACCGAGACAGTCCCCGGTACATCCTCTCCAGAAGCGAAAGAGCAAGCTTAAAGACAAAACTCACCCCGAAGTACGCGATATGATCGAAAACAACTTCAATTTGCCTCCTCTGGAAGAGAGTGCTGAACAACCCCAGAAACCACGGGCTTACAAGCACCTCCAAATCGATCGACTTTTCTGCGAGGTTCTTGCAGAGTCCCGGGTACTTCTCCCTCGCAAGACCCACAAAGACGGAGAGATCTCTCCCCAGGCCGTATATCTCTGGCCCCGTATACCCCGGGAGTATCCGACTGAAAATATGAACTATCCCAAAGAAAGTCCCCGTTTCCCCGAGGACTCTGTAGAGAACAGACGCAATCATCCCGTGGGACTGCAGATACTCCCCCCCTGCGAAGGCTGTAAATGCGCACAGAAGTCTTCTCATGCTCTCAACATCCGCAGAGTCTCCCGTGCAGACTCTAAAAGCGTCTTTCTCTGCCTGTTCGTATCCCCCGTAAAAGACTCGCTTCGACTTCTCGAGAGAGTTCTCGTACAGATCCGGAGTACTCGCCATTCCGCACAGGCAGAAACATCCCATCCACACGAAGGGTCTGCTGTTCCTGCTGGGAGAGGGAGAAGTTTCCTCTGTCTTTATGCAGACGTATATCCTGTACTCGGACGTACTCCCCAGGGCCCAGTTACTTCCTCTCTCGAGGTCGTACTGCATTCTGTGGGAGATCCGGAGCATATCCAGGAAGACGCTGAAATACGCGGATTTGAAGGATCTATCGTCCTGCACGAGCTTATTCAGGAGAAGGTGCACGCCCTCAGAATTTCCCACGCGGAAGACGAACTCCCTGCAGTTTGCGTCCCGTATCGTGAGGATTCCCTTCCCTGCGAGTTCGACCTTCCGGAGCATGCACAGCGGAATGAGGAGATACTTCGGACTCTCCCGCACGATCAGAAAGTCTTCAGTCACGGAGATACTCCCGGACTCGTGCATTATCACGCACTTTATTCCCTGCCCGTAGAGGGGAACTGTCGCACAGACTCGCTCGGAGATTCGCCTCAGAACGAGCTCATTCGGGGCGTCTTCCTCCCCCACGGGCTGCAGGGAGAGCGTGAGAACCTCCTCTGGGAGCTCTGGGAAGGGCGACACTTCGAGAACTTCTGCGCCCTGCTCGGAGTCGTTTTCCGCGTGAATTTCTACTTTTCCGGTGGAAACGACTTTTCTGATCTTTTTGTACGGGACGACCTTCTGGGAGCTTCTTGTGAACACGCAGAGGCCGGTACTCCCTAAAATCACGACATTCTCCGAACTCTCGTACGCCTTCACGAAAACTCCCACGCAAAGACCGAGGGAGACGCTTTCAAAGAGTCCGGGGAGACCTTCCTCCGCCCACTTCAGGAGTCTATCGAAGGACCAACTCCCGCACAGGACGGAGTCACTCTCCCTATCTAGAAGCCGGTATCTTCCTACAGCGCACTCGGATATGTACTCCCGTGCTGACCTGTACGTGAAAGAGTTCGGAGTATCTTCTTTAGTTCTGTCTTCTGCATCTGCAGGTCCTTCCACGTTCTTTTCTATTTTGTGGGTCTTTCTTTCGTACACGCGTATCCACATAATTTTAATTTGAGAATTTATTCAGTTCATATTCGGGAGTTTCTTGCAGAGTCGCCTGTACGCTTCGTGCACGTGGGACGGAAGCAACTCCCCGGAGTCCTCCCACGCCTCCTGCACCTCCTTCGCCTCCTCCACGATTTCCGAGACGAAGACTTTTGCAATTCCGCTGAGGACTATCGAGAAGTTCGGATTGCACGTTTGCTCCAGGACTTGGCTCACAAACTTCCGGATTCCGCCCTTGTTGAAGCCTGTGCGCCTGAATTTAACGTATCTTTTAAGCTCTTCCTCCGTTAGGTTCCTGGTTTCAGCATTCCCAGGGCCCTGGTACTGCTCTTCTTCACTCTCTGAGCCAGCTGCCCCTCCTTCGTCCTCTCTCATATTATTTCTTCTTTTTTTTCGTGCATGATTAATTCTGAAGTGCGCAGCAGCATAAAACACGCTCTCACGGGGTACAGGGAGGGAGACAGGCCTATTCTGGAGGAGCTGGGGGTAGATTTCAGCGCCATAAAAAGAGACTCTCTCCGGATATTCCTTGTAAACAGCCACTTTGCGAAGGAGACAGACGACATGGTAGGACCGATTCTCTTCCTGGCGCTGTACGGGGCTCTGCTCGTTCTCCGGGGAAGAGTTCACATCGGGCATCTCTACTACCTCTCAGCACTCAGCTGCATATTCGTGTACGGTGTAACTGTGCTGATGAATAGTACTCCTGTGAGTGCGCTGGGAGTAGTGAATGCGCTCGGGTACTCCCTCATTCCCGTGCTTATTTTCACGGTGGGAACGCACGTAATGCCCTCCTGCAAAACCCTCCGGATCCTGATCGGGTGCGGATTTTCCCTCTGGGCTACGGCCGTAGCAGCAGTTGAAATCACGCGGAGATTCCGCATCGAGGAGAAGGGGATCCTCATAGGGTACCCGATATTCCTTGTGTTTACGTGCCTTGTAATTTTGTCCGTTGTATAGCCTTTGTCCGTTGTAAGGGCGAAGAGATTAAAGAAAAAATGTAATCAGATCCAGTGACATTCAACATTACCTTCAGACCGCCCGTCATTGGGTATCATCATCTTACAGGGGAGCAAAAGAGAAAAAAGAAAAATAGAAAAAAGAAAGTGCGCACGCCCTCCACCCGTACAACGGAGTGAATAGCACGACCACAATCACAGGGCAGGAAACTCTCCAAAAAGGGCGTACTCCGAGTGCGGAGACTCCTGGTGAAGTTTCACGGGGAGAGAAAAATCTCGCATCACCCCAGAATTCAGGCAGACAATTTACTGGTTTTGGAACATTCGCAGAATAAATACGAGAACAACCCTTTCCCCATGAGACTGCGCTACGCCATTATCCTGCACTGTGCACTCTCCCAGGGAAGGACATTCGATGCCTCCCCCACAGGAAGTACAGCCTTCCCCGAGAGAGAAGCTTCTTTTTGCGGGGATACGTCCGACTGCGGATCCTTCGTAGAGAAGTCCGTGAAGTTCCCGCACCCGGAGGAGCCTCTTCTCTTCGAGTGCGGCCCAGAGAGTCCCGGAGAAAGTAGAATCCCCAGGGAGTCTCCTGCAGGAAGTTTAGAGGGAATCCTTTCCCGAGAGAGAAGCACTTTTCTGTGGCGACTCTTCGGGAGTGTCACCCTCTCGCAGACTCCGTACGTGTGCAACCTCAGAAAAAGCCTGCACGCAGAGACGGAGCCAGAGACCCCGCATAAAACCCTCCTCAACCAGACGCGAGAGATTCTCTCCACGTGGTACCCGAACATCCTCGGGGCTTTCTACTTTTTCGTCGTTCTTCTGAGCGTTGCTAGCACGTACCGCCTCGACGGACTCGAAGTCTCGCACTCCGTGAAGGCAGCAATACGCGAGGGAACAGAGCATCTTCTCGAGTGGGCCCGGGAGAGAGTTTTCCCGCAGGAGAGAGTCCTTTTCTCCCCCGAAGTATCTGCGTATCTCGTCTTCACGCACGCGCAGATTCTCTCCGGGAACTTTCTCCTTCTCCCGTCCCTGATCGAGGAGGAGCCGCTGCGAGTCTTCGAGGCTGCCGTGCGCGAGAAAGTGCAGGCGCTTGGGATGCGGGGGAGCGAACTCCCGAAATGCGTCGAGTCTTTCGCGGGGATCTGCACGGGACAGTCCGGGATTCCCTCCTCCGGTGCATACGCCCTTCTCCGGCGCCTTCTTCGCCTGCATGCGACTGTTTACTCGTACGAGGGCATGAAAAGTGCGCTGGAAGATGCTTCTCTTCGCTGCGTGTCCGTGGACCATGCGCGACACGTCCTTCTCTCCTTCTCCTCGGATCTGACGGGGCTTCTCCTCGCGACTCGCCGGCACTTCTCGGAGTCTGCGTCTCTCCGCGTGCTGTGAAAGAATAAAGTAGCGTCTTTTAGAGTAGAGCGAATTTATTGATCTTCCCTGTCTGGGTCTAGGGCATAGACCCATTCTCTGCAACATCCACTTCCGGCCTCGTTTTGGTGCGCGAGCGTCTTTTACTTCAGATTTATTTCCTAGTTTGTCTCTGCGCCTCCTGTGAGCACTCTGTACTTCTCCTGGACTCTTGTCTTTCTCTCCTCGCTTGTGAGCTTTCTCGGCTTATTCTGGTACTTCGACCTGTCTACTGCTGCTCTCTCCTTCTTCGGGAAGGTGTCCTGCCTGATGAGGGCGAATGCCTGCTCGTACTTCTGCTCTATTTCGTCTGCTGTGACTCCGTTCTTAATGTACTCTGCGAACTTTCTGTTGTACTCCTGCTCGTCCTCCTCCTGCAGTTTCCGCATGTAGTCTGCGACGTGTCCTCCGAAGATTCTGCTCTTGAGCTCCTCTGCGTCGAGTTCTTTGCTCTCCTTGTCGAATCCCACGAACTTATTCGGGGAGTGCGGGATATAGAGTCCTCCATCGCAGGCTCCCTTCATAGCTGCGAAGACTTTTGCTCCTTTTGTGGATCTTGCGAGTCCGAGGTCGAGGTAGCACCTGAACGCCTTCGGTCCTTCTTCGTTATCTGACTCCAGGTACTCTTCTCCGTCGAGTTCCTCCTTTCCGGTGTAGTCTTCTGCGAGGCCGAGCTTTGTGAGCATCTTTCTTGCGCAGAGGAAGCCTGTAGCGTATGCTGCTGCGTAGTTTTTAAGGCCGAAGTTGATTCCGTACTTCTTCAGCTCCGAGGAGTCTGCTGCACAGATGACTTTATCTCCGACGGTGTACGCCTGTATGATCTGGCATATAACCTTCTTGTTCGTTATTCTGACGACGAATCTAGACTTGACTTCTCCGTAGTTTGCCTTGTTGTGTCGGATTAGGTTATGTCTTTGCTGGTAGTCTGTTTTTCCTTCTCTTCTCCTCCTCAGGGGCAGCCTCGTTCTCTTCATGTGGGCTCTGTGGTCTCTTGCTTCTTCAAATGACATTTTTCTGCTGGGGGTTAAATTTTGCAAAACTAAAAAGAAAAAGACGCTCTGAAAAGTTTAAGCTTAGGCTGAAGTTTAGGCTGGAGTTTAGCTGATGACGAAGAAGGCGATGAATAAAGTTGAATAAAAGTTGAATAAAAGCTGATAAAGAAAGTTTAAGATAAAGAAAGTTTAGGCTGGTGATGAAGAAAGTTTAAGATTGTCGTAAATCCGGGTTTCATTCTGACGATTGTATAAAACGAGCTCCAGTAAAGATTTATTAATCTTAGGAGAATCCCGGCGATCGACCTTTGCTTGACTTGAATAGTGTGTATTCGAATTTCTTGCCATTTTCTTCTGCTCTCTAAAATTAAAGTCGTTTGCGTATTTATGCTTGTAAACGATCACTCTTTAATTTTTTTTTGCATCAGATCATTTAAAATTCTTTCAAGCTGATCTTGCCATCTCCGAATTTTGTGGGAATTCCAATAATTCACCACAAAGATAAATAAAGTTTAGTCTGAAGTTTAGGCTGAAGTTGATGATGAAGAAAGTTTAGGCTGAAGATAAATAAAGCTGGTGATAAAGAAAGTTTAAGATAAAGTTGATGATGAAGAAAGTTTAAGATAAAGTTAATGATAAAGTTAATGATAAAGAAAGTTAAGGATAAAGCTGGTGATAAAGAAAGTTTAAGATAAAGAAAGTTAAGGCTGAAGAAAAATAAAGATAAATAAAGCTGGTGATAAAGTTAATGATAAAGAAAATTTAGGCTGAAGTTTAGTCTGAAGTTAATGAAGTTTAGGCTACTACTGAAGAAGAAGATGAAATCCGGGATTTATTCTGGGACTTTTCTGGTTTTCTGGTTTTCGGGTTGTGGGGCAGTGGATTCGGGCGCCGATCGCTCACGCCTTCTTCTGGGTCTTCTGGAGGTGTCTCAGGATGCTGTGGAATGCTGGGTGGTCCCCAAAGAGGAAGGCTGCAATGTCTTGGACGAGGGTTTCGTCCTCAAAGTGCGAGCTTTCCCCGTTGTACGCCTCTATGAAGGCAGTTGCAGAGTTTCCAGCTGCGAAAAGTCTGTGCAGCACCTGAATTTTCGGGTACTCCTCGAGCATCTGCCTGAAAGGGTCTGTCACGGAGAGAAGCTCCTCCAGAAGGCGAGCCCAGTTCTCTGGGGCGTGTTTGTGCAGGCCTACATCGAGAAGTTCGTATGCACTCTTCAGCAGCCTATTGTACACGGTTGTTTGTATGTGCTGCCTGAAAGCGCCTGCAAAAAGGCTCTCGCAGGTGCTGAGAAAGAAGGTGCTCGTTTCTTCGACTGCTCCTGATGCGCCTTTCCTGTGGAATTCTGCGAGGGCGGCTTCGTAGACGGATGCGTGCAACTTCTCCACTGCCTCTCCTGGGGCGGAGGAAAGATCTTCCTCGAGATGGGAGAAAACCTGAATTTTCGACTTTCTGGAGGTTTCCTCGAGGTACCCGATGCTCTGCGCTGTCTGGGCGTCTGCCAGCCACAGGAGCAAAGCCCGTATTCTCTCTCTGGGGTTTTGGCCTACGACCCGCGTCCTTATATGCGCAAAGTACGCTCTCAGGTGGTTAATAACGGTTTTTTTCACCATCTGATCTTTTGATCTTTTTGTGGCTTCTATTCTCTGGAGGACTTTTGCGGCTTTATAGAGGCCGTGGGAGACTTTCTCGACACTCTGCGCATGCATGGCCTCAGCCAAAGCATCGACTGCGTCGGGAGGGCTCTCTCGGGGCTTGTTTTCCAGGCCTTTCTTCTCGATGCCTGAAATTTCCTCGTATTTTTCGGCCCTGAAAATTTCCTCGAGCTTCCCCACGAGGTTGTCGCACATCCACCGGTCGGTGTCTTCGATGTGGTAGACTGTCCCGTAGAAAACTTCGTTATTGTACCTTTCCAGCTGCTTTAGGGAGATCTTGTGCAGGTTTCTGACTATGTGCGCCTTCATCTCGGCCAGGATCTCGTTATGGAGGGAGAGCTTCGATATGTTTTCGTACACGTTCTTGCTTGTGACGAGATACTCCTCCCCCACGCCCAGGGCCTTCATTATCTCCTGCTGCAGCTCGCCCTCTGGGGTTTCTGCCCTTTTATTTGCCATGTACGCGGCTACGTATAGGACTCCTTCAGAGACTGTCGTTAGAACGGGGTTGTACATCAGGATGTAGTCGCAAATTGGGGCGACTATGAACTTGTTGTAGACAGAAACCTGGTCTGGAAGCTTCTCCCGGATCACAGGGAGGACCTGGTTCACTTTCAGCGATATTTTCAGGCAGTTTATCTTGATTTTAACGGATTTTACCGTTATTACGCTGCTGTTCTCGCTGAAAAGCGTCTTGAAATACTCCAGGACCTTCGCAGAGAGCTGGTTCCTCGTGAGAAACTGCGCCTGCTGCGATATGTCCTCAGGCGACTCAATCTTCGCATCGATCGCATCCCGTCTCTCTATTTCGTTCTGGACCTTCGAGAGCCGCAGCCTGTACGAGTTCACGCGATCCGGCCTGCTTTCTACCTCTGCCTTCTGCGCCTGCAGGGCCGCTATCTCCTCCTGCACCTCGGCTATCCGCTTGTTCAGTGCTGCCATCTCTTCCAGCTCGCTTCTCAGGTTCTTTGCTTTCTCTATGCACTCAAAAAACTCGCTCATTCCAAACCCGTAAACAGAGAGCAAAAAATATAAGAATAAAAGATTGAAAAAATGGGCCTTAGCATACGGGCAATAATGCACTGCAAAATGGCATAGTTATGATCGCACCCGAAAATGCACTGAGAGTCCTCCCACGCCCCGACGAAGATGCTCCCTGAATTTCCGCCTGCCCCACACGATATTATGGGCCTTTCAGGCGCCTGCTCCAGAAATTCCCCTGGAAGCACGCGACTTACGCAGTATTAGGGCGGGAGATTTACGCAGCACACTCCCCACGCAGGCACGAGCACACACATCGAGGGAATTCTCCTGCTTTTTTTCGCACTTTTCCGGATAAATACTGCCTCATGCACTCTCTCCCGTAAGATTCTAACCCGGAAAATTATTTCTTTGTTACTAGAAGTAATCATGTGGAATAGTAGTTGGAATACGGGAATAGTAGAAGTAATCATGTGGAAGTAACACTAGAAGTAGTACTAGAAGTAAGTAATCATGTGAAATACTAGAAGTAGTACTAGTGTAAGTAATGCTAGTTTTGGAATAGTAGAAGTAATCATGTAGAAGTAACACTAGAAGTAATCATGTGAAATACTAATCGGAATACTAGAAGTGGTACTAGTGTAAGTAATCATGTAAAATACTAATTGGAATACTATAAGTAGTACTAGTGTAAGTAATCATGTGAGATACTAGAAGCAATTGTGAAAGTGCAGACTTTATTCTTTCTCCATCCTGTAAGCAGGCAGTGCTTAATATCCCGCAGTCTCTTTTCTCTTTCTGCTAGCACATCATGCGGATTTTTCCCTGTATGAGGAAAGTCTTCCCCGGGGGCTTTGGCTGCGGGCATATCACCTTTATCTCCGTCTCTGAAACGACCTTCACAACCGTCAGGTACCCCATCACAGGCGCAGTTGGAACATCCTCTATCCTGCCCGCAGAGGAGATTGCAAGCACTGCCCCCTCCACGGGACTGCACGGGAGAACTGCCGTTGAGACTTTCCTCTTCGCAGATCCGAGGGGAAGCGCTGACATCGGAGCCATAAACTCGTCTCCCACCTGCACGATCCTGTACCCTCTCTCTGAAGCCTCTTCACTCTCCGCTATTTTTATGGAGATTGTGCAGGGACTGTACTCCTCCTGCTCCCCGTAGAAGTACGCCTTTATTCTTCCGGATATCTGCATTCTCCTCTGCTCGGTATTTCTCTCGATGATCCCGGGGAATCTTGGGATGTATATCTTCTGGTCGATCTCCAGCTGATTGTACAGCTTCTCATCCCCAACCACGACGAGGAAGTCCGCCCCGCAGAGGGCAAATAGTTCCTCTGCCTCCTTCCTCGCTATTTCCTTGTGCCCAATCGTAACGGCTGCACCTGAAAGCGTCTTTCCCCTTCCTGCACTGAGGAGTTCCCTGAGCAGGAGGTTGTACAGATCGGTGTTATCACACGCACTCGCTGATCCCGTGAAGTATGCGAGTTTCTCGCTGATAGAAGCCCTTTCAATCGGGCTAAACGGGTCGGATATGCACGCACTTGCGACATTCCCTGGGAAAAGGAGGGTCCCACTGTGGACGTCTAAGTCCGTGTACAGGACCTTCTCCCCCTTCCGCACGAAGTAGTTTGTCAGTATATTCGCACACGTTGATCTTCCTCCCCCTATCACGAGAAGATGCATTTTTCTGTGTTTGTGCAGGTAGTGAAATACGTTGAAAATGTACGGGATATTCGTCTCCTGCGAGATATAGTAGAAAGCATCACTCGCTGCGAGCTTTATCCTGCACCCCGTATACGTGAAGATGAAGAACTGCTCCTCCTTAACGGTGTACCACTTTCCCAGGAGGAGTTCCTGCCCGGATATTTCCGCTGTACTTTCTGCGAGGACGAACTTTGCCTTTGAGTTCGGGGGTATTTCTATCCGCAGTTCGCAGCCTGCCTTTAACTCGATGTCCATAAAATTTAAAAGAAATTTCCGGCCTAAAACTCTGCGTGTTTATACGCCTGTCGGACGCTTATGTTTATCCTCGAGTGGGAAATGAGGCTGTAAAAGGGGAAATCTGCGTACTCTTCCCTCCCTGTGTTTTCCTCGAAGATCTTTGGGACTCCGTGGAAGTACTCTCTGGAGTCTCCGATGAGGACGGCAATATCCCCGTCCTGCAGGAGAAAAGTGTCGACCTCCGGGTCCTCCCTCGTCTTTCTCCCGAGGACGAAGACGCAGGAGCAGCCAAAACTGAAGGAAATCAGGGGCTTCGTCATGTCTTCCTCGTACCTGTCGATATGGCTCATTATCCGGTCCTTCTTCTGGTAGTAGTTTACGACTGCAGTTTCCGGGACGAATCGAACTCTGCATATTTCCTGCGATATTTCTTGGCAGACTTCGTCTACTACCCGGGGCATTGGGGAGACTGCTTTCTGGGCGTACGCCTTCTCCTCCCAGTCGTAGTATATCCCGAGGCTGGCCCACCTGATCTTTTTGATGATTTCCTCTGCAGGCATTTTAACGTATCCGGATGCGTATGCGTCCTTCTCCTCCTGTGAGGCGTACGGATTCTGCCGTATCTTTATATTTGCCACGGGATTTGGGGACATTTTAACGGTTATTTCGCTCTTTTTAAGGTATGCCCCGTATAAATCCGTGCCCTCTATCTCCAGGGATCTATCTATGCTGTTCCTGTACGGAGGATACAGAAACTGTGTAAGGACAGCCTCTGCAATGGTGTTTTTCACGCCTTTCACGAGGGGATTCGGTATAAACATAAACCCCCCTGAAAAGTGGTATACAGTGACTGTCTCCTTCAGAAATTTGCTCTTTAGATGCAGCTTCTCCTCCCGGAGGCAGTAAATGTGCGCATTCTCCCCGTTTATTCTGGGCCTTTCCTCCGAGTGCATGTGCATCTTCTCTGCTTCTCTGAGCTTATTCAGACCCATTTATTTTTGCAAAAAGAAGACGCGCGCATATAACCCCTCCCACAGAGTGATTCGAGAGAAGGATGCAGCACACCCTGCAGTTAAAGCATAGCATCCCTGAAAGGCTCCAGAACGTACCCGTCCATTTTCACCCGAGATGATTTCTCTGCATTTTCACCCACTCAGAGGGAGAAACTCCACGCCCTGGACAGTTGCAGCGCAAATATGCCTGTTGAATAGAAGGGCGTCCAGCGTAATCGTATGCAGTGAATATTCAGCAAGAATTTTGTTATCCGCGTGCAGGGAAACAACAGAGACTTTCCCCGTATTTGCAACAGCAACTGCAACTGCTGCAGATACTGCGATTATCCTTACGATGCAGGAATCCTCCTCCATCACCCGGCGCCTTCTCTCTCGCTTGTACTTCGTGTCTATTATGCTCAGCGTAGACGTAAAGTCCCCGCACAGGAGAGTCTCCTCTGCGAAGGCCATGGACTCCACGGACTCTCTCCCCGCGGACTTATTCTCGTATACGCTCACTAGGCTTCCCTGCGAGCTGGAGAAGGAGAGAATTTCCACGCCTCCATCCCCGTATCCCACAGCAACGGACTTTCCCGAAGTGTTTACCTGCATCACGCGTATCTCACGCCCTTTCTCTGGCCGATACTTCGCAGAGACTCTTCCGTCCCTGTCGAAGATCAGGATCTGCTCGCAGGAGGCAGTGTAAATGTGCGATTTCGTCTCAACTATCTCCAAAATTCCGGAGGAGTGTCCTGCGTAGAGAATCCCTGCTCTTTCTATCGTCCCATTTTCAGGCACGGAAACTGCTTCTATAAGGCCCTCAGACGTCCCCAGAAAAATCATTTTTCCCTCCCCCGAGAGAACTGCTCGGGTGACATCCGCCTGCATCTCGAAGGTCCGCACTTCCTTCGAGAACCTGCCACTCTCCCGGGTTATGCGTATCTCAGCAATTGTTCCATCCATGGAAACAGCTACAGCCTTGCTTTCCGTGATAAATTTCGCCATTATAACGGAGTCCTCAAATCCCTCAATCACCTCGTCAATGACGTACTCCTCCCCGTTGAAGGCGTAGAAGGTCACTGCATCGTCTCCTCCCCCAGAAATCAGCATGTTCAGCTCTTTCTGCGCATCGATGCAGTAAACTTCCTCGGTTTTTCTCTTTTCCTCGTGCATTCTGCGTTTTTGCAAAATAATTTCTCTTATACCGAATAACAGCAGCCCTCGGGTTTCGGCGTACACTTTTTCCTTCGATCGAATTTGTGCTTTTATTTCCTCGTATTATCCGCAGTCAAGCGCATTCTCACGTCCACAGGGCACATTTCGCTGGAGAGTGGCCCAGTTCCCCGCATTTGTGGCATCTCACGAGTCTCCGCGTCTCTTGCGCTTTCTTCTGGGCCTTTCCTGCGCCTTCTTCTGGGCTCTTTTCTCCTGCGGGGACGGAGGGTTTCACTCTACTCTGCTGAAGTATGCAGGACTCTTCAAGACGCATTCGGGAAGAGTCTCCTCGCGTGCTCCCTCTGGGTGTTTTGTTCATGCGCTTTGTTTTCCTGGGCTTTATCTACGCCTTGATGGTGATTTTGTGTGACAGCTTTCTTGCGCGTGTTTCAGCCTCACGCTCGTTTGTGCTTTTTCTGTTTGTTTGCGCTGGAGTATTCGCAGATTCGGGAAAACGTGCTGGGAGGTGCTGGGAGATGCTGGGAGGAGGAATAGTGCGTGCACTCGAGACTATGCCTCTATCTGCTGCGATATCCCGCTTCTCCCGCCCTGAAAGACCTATTCCTGCAATAAATGGCGCAAATACGCTGAAACCCTGCAAAAACAAAGGCCAGCCCCCGGGAAAAGAGGGGCAGGGATATCCCACTTCCCCCGCCCAGAATACCCTGAAAAATCAGGAGTTTCCATCTCGTCCCCCATCCGCAGGACCACTCCCAGGGAAAAGTCTCCAAGCAAAAAATAAAAGACGGGTTTTTTTCTCCGGAGACTCTGCAAGAACGTGCGAAATGCGCAGGAAAAGGCAAAACAGAAACTTGGAACTGTCTTCCATTTTTCTTTTTTTTTCTTTTTTATTTTTGCAAATTTTTCAAAGAGCTCCAAAACCCGAAAGCGCTGTTATTTGTTATTATATGCTGGAGACAGCGTGCCCGTGGGAAATTAAAACAATAAATCGAAATAGTTAAAAAATAGTTGAAAACCCAGAAGAAAACGACACGCTTCCAGCGCCAAAGCAGGGACGAGCAAGAAGAAATTGCCCTAATCGCGTGTAATACGATCTCTTTATTTTATGCCTGCAGCAATGTCTTTCTGCGCGTTTATCATGGAGGCGAGAAACTCCTCGGTGACCTTCTTCCGGGCGACTGGAGGCTTGTAGTACAGGCCCTCCTCCGTGACTATCCTTATAATGCACGCCAGGCACTTCGTGAAGTTCGTGAGCGTAAAAAAGCCGTTTTGGAAGTTGGAGTTCTTCCGGACCAGAAGCCGAATGTGCAGGGCATTTCCCTCCTTCAGGGAAACAGGAGCAAAAACCAGGCCGGAAAGCATCTTCTCCTCCTGCACGTACCACTGCAGACGCTTTTTCAGCTTCAGAATCGACTCGTTACTGCACTCTATGCTCACAGGCAGGTCAATCGTCCAGTACTGCGATATAGACCTTCTCACGTTAACAATTGGGCACTTACTCACTACGCTATTCTGTATTATCGTGTATACTCCTGCCCACGTGGTGAAACACGTTGAAAAAAGCCCGACTTTATTCACGATCATATTCTCTCCCTTTATGAAGACTCTATCCCCAGTATCGTACGGGTGCGAAATCAGCAGAAAAATAAAGCTTTCAAAGAAGCTTATACTCCCAGGGATCACTGCATTTATAAGGACAAACGAAAAAAAAGTGTACAAAAACATATTTTTCATGTTCATGCATATGGAGGCAATGATAAAGAGGAGAATTCCCTCGACGATGTAGAGGAATCCGTTGAAGTGGCTGAGGAGTCTCCTGCAGTCCTTTATGGCCATGTACAGATTTGTCCTCTCCAGGGATATCTGCCTAAATGTCTCGTTGAACGTGGAGAACTGTATGCGGCTTCTCTCCCCGTAGGAAATAAGCGAGAAAAGGGAATTCGCGTGGGCAGCCGGCAAAACCTGCAGAAGAGACGCGACGGAGACGGATCCTTCGACCTCGTCCATGACCGGAGTCAGGCGAGGCCTATTCGGGATTCTCAGACTCTCTCCGAGCCCGTATCCGTACTCTTCCATGACGCATCCTTCAGTTTCGTCGTCTCTCCGCCACTTCTTGAAGATATCGAGGACGGGAAGGGGCTCAGGCTTTCCTCTCCGGTAGAATTTGTCTATGCTCAGGTCCTGGTGAAGGTCCATCTCCGAGACTTTTCCCGTTGCAAAAAGAAGGTACTTCTCCAGCTGAAGAACCTCCAAGTTATGGCCTGTGCTGAAGTCCTTCAGGAGGTTCTTCTTCGTAACGGAGTATAGGAGCATAAGAAGGACTCTCACAGCAGTCCCGCACAGAACAATAAGGGCTATCGGCTGTATCTCGTACTCTATCCATATGGACTGTAACATCAGCCCGAGGAGGAATATCTGCAGTCTCGACTTGTAGAAGATGAAGCACGGGATGGAGGACTTGGACTTTCTGTGGAGGAGGGGGAGAGCCCCAAAAAGCAGGAGGAATGAGAGAATATTCGCGAATAAAGAGAGTCCGTACACTCTTCCATTGTGCAGGAAAAAAGCTCCCAGTGCCCAAGTAGCTGCAACTAAAGCTCCAACGAGTCCCACGAGAAAGACACTTTTCTTTGGCGTCATAAACAAATATTTCCAAATTCAAAATGACAAAATGCGCTGGAAACACGTTAATTCCTGCGAAATGCACCGAGCATATCACAATGAAACTTACAGTAGAGTCCTGTGAAGTGTGCCCAGGGAAACTACTCCCATAGTACACTGCAAGTCTAAACTGCAAAATGTAAAATATACACTTTATTCATACTATAATATACTCTATACAATAAAAACAATTCTATACTCTATACTAAAAACAATTCTAAAATATACTCTACACTTATACTAAACTATACTCTATACTACAGTATTACTCTACACTAAAAACAATTATACTAATACTCTATACTATACTACAGCAATCATACTGTACTAAATAATTCTATACTAAAAACTTTATTCATCCTATACTATTCTAATACTATACAAACAACAACTCTATTCTAAACAATTCTAAACACTAATACATAACTCTACTCTAATAGTACACTAAACACTTTATTCATCCTATACTATACCAAACACTATACCAAACAACAACTCTAAACACTATTCTATTCTAAACACTAATACATAACTCTACTCTAATAGTACACTAAACACTTTATTCATACTGTAGAGAATGGCCTTGCCTGCTTTAGAGTATCCAAGTGCATCTACAGGCTGCAGCACCCATCCTTCCCAGGGCAAGGCGACTCCTGAGGAATCTCCTGTGCCTCTTCCCTCTGCTCTGTCTTTTGCACGTACCCAATCAGGTACTTCTTCAGGAGCTTCTTGTAGTTGATCCACGGGTGTATTGTGTTGAAAATCTCCGTGCAGTCCTTCCCTGCATTCTCCAGGATAATATTAGATCCCCCGGGATGGTCCTTCAAATAGTCAGTTACGTCGTACACAATCCCAGACAGGACAATCCAGCAGCTTTTCTTGCATTTGTGCGCAGACACTTCCTCGAGTGTGTATGGCCTGGGCTTAATTTGGATCATCTCAACATATTTAAATTGTTTTTTTAATACAAATAATGGCAGAAACAAACACAGCGACAGCAATCCTGAACGAGAAAAGGACGAATAGCTACCAAATAGTCTATCCTTCGGATGACTGTGTTAAAGGAGACTGCACCCTGGATATAGCCGATGTGGGAATTTCCTACGCTAGAATGCAGGAGCTCAACATCTTCCAGTACGACGTAATCCTCATAAAAGGGAAGAAGCGGAAGGAGTCTCTCTTCATGGTGAAGAAGATGGACATTCCGGACGACAAAATAGTCCTTCTCCGGGAGGGCTGTGAGAACGTCTGCTCTCGCGTGGGGGACTACGTTAAGCTCTACGAGCTCCTGGACGATACGATCACCGTGGAAAAGGCGACTATTTTGCCGGTTAAGGAGGACCTGGAGGGAGTGGAAATCAACGTATACGACGACCTCCTGAAAGGATACTTCGAGAAGTCGGTGCGACCCATCCACGAGAACGACGTCATCACAATCCGAAACAATCGCGTCTTCCGGTTCAAAGTGACCCACGTCCAGGCAGGAAAGCATTGCTACGGGAAAGTCGGAAAAGACACGGAAATATTCTGCTCCGGAGAAATCAGCGAAGATGAACTTCTAGCAGATAAGAACATGATCGGATACGACGACATCGGAGGGTGCAGGAAGCAGATGGCAAAGATCCGGGAACTTGTCGACCTCCCCCTCAGGCACCCGATTCTCTTCCAGAAGTTGGGGGCAAAACCCCCGAGGGGAATTCTCATGCACGGACCCCCAGGAACAGGAAAGACGATGATCGCACGAGCAGTTGCAAACGAGTCAGGTGCTTTCTTTTTCCTCATCAACGGCCCAGAGATCATGTCGAAACTCTCCGGGGAGAGCGAGAATAACCTCCGGAAAGCCTTCAAGGAGGCAGAGAAGCAGAGTCCCAGCATAATCTTCATCGATGAAATAGACGCAATCGCCCCGAAGAGGGATAAGAGTCAGGGAGAAGTCGAGAAGAGAGTAGTTAGCCAACTGCTTACGCTCATGGACGGACTAAACTCCAGGGCGACAGTTATCGTGATAGGAGCTACGAATAGGCCGAATAGCATCGACCCAGCCCTCAGAAGATTCGGAAGATTCGACAGGGAGATCGAAATAGGAATCCCAGACTTCGCAGGACGCCTTGAAATTATGCGCATCCACACGAAGAATATCCTCATCGCAGAGGATACGGACATCGAGAAAATAGCGAAGGATACGCACGGGTACACAGGAAGTGATCTTGCTTCCCTCTGCTCGGAGGCAGCTCTCCAGCAAATACGCGAGAAAATGCACCTTTTCGACCTGGATAGTGATGTGCTCGATATAAACGTCCTGAACTCACTTGCAGTTACGCAGGAGAACTTCGAGTACGCTCTCAGGCACACAGATCCTAGCTCCCTCAGAGAAACCGTTTTGGAGGCTCCGAATATCGCGTGGGAGGACGTGGGAGGACTCGAGAACGTAAAGGCAGAGCTTAAGGAGATGGTCCAATACCCCGTAGAATATCCGGATCTGTACAGAGAGTTCGGAATGAGTCCCTCGAGGGGAGTGCTTTTCTACGGACCCCCGGGATGCGGTAAGACCCTCCTCGCGAAGGCAATTGCAAGTCAGTGCAACGCAAACTTCATTTCTATTAAGGGCCCAGAGCTGCTTACGATGTGGGTGGGGGAGAGCGAGGCAAACCTCCGAGAGATTTTCGATAAGGCAAGAGCAGCTTCTCCCTGCGTGCTTTTCTTCGATGAGATCGACTCGATAGCGAGAGCGAGAAGTGGGGCTGGAGAGAGGTCGGGAGGAACAACGCAGATCCTCAATCAGATGCTTATTGAGATGGACGGAATGAACACGAAGAAAAACGTCTTTGTCATTGGAGCTACGAATAGGCCGGACGTCATTGAGCCTGCGCTTATGCGGCCGGGGAGACTCGATCAGCTTATATACATCCCACTCCCGGATGAGGAGAGCAGAATGTCGATACTTCGCGCGAATCTTCAGAAGGCTCCGCTGGATCCGGGGGTGAACCTGCAGGAAATCGCAGGGAAAACTGTTGGATTTTCAGGTGCGGATTTAACGGAACTTTGCCAGAGTGCGTGTAAGTTCGCGGTGAAGAAGCGGATTGAGGAGGAGATCAGGAGGAGGACGCAGATGAAGGCGCAAATGAAGGAGGCCGGGGAAGATGCGATGGAAATAACGGAAATGTCCGCCCCGGAGGAGCAGGAGCCTGCGAGAGTCCTCCCAGAGCACTTTAAGAAGGCGATGGAGAGGGCCAGGAGAAGTGTCAGCGAGGAGGAGGAGAGAAAGTACGAGGGATTCCAGAACAAGTACAGGGGAGGGATCCTGAACGACACCCTCAACGACGAGACGGGCCTGTACGACTAACTGCAGAAATAAAGGAAAGTCACTCTATATGTTCTTGGTTGCTTCAGTATGCAGTAGGAGATATACTGGAGAATATTGTACTAGTAGGAGTTAGTTAGTTGTACTAGTAGGAGTTAGTTGGTTGTTTATACTAGTAGGAGTTTATTATACTAGAGATAGTTAGTTAGTTATTTATACTAGTAGGAGTTAGTTATTTATACTGGAGATAGTTATTTATTTATACTAGTAGGAGTTAGTTATTTATACTAGAGATTATTATACTGAAGATAGTTAGTTGTTTATTTATACTAGTAGAAATTATACTGGAGATTCTTATACTGAAGATAGTTAGTTGTTTATTTATACTAGTAGAAATTATACTAGTAGGGGGTTAGTTAGTTGTAATAGTAGGAGATATACTGGAGATTTGGTTATACTAGAGATTATTATACTAGTAGAAATTATACTAGTAGAAATTATACTGAATATGTAGTTATACTGAAGATATACTGGAGATATACTAGTAGGAAAATTTTAATAATTAGTTAGTTTATTATACTGTAACTTCAATAATAATTAGTTAGTTAGTTATACTGTAACCCGAATAACTAATTAGTTGGTTGGTTAGTTATACTGGAGATTCTAGAAGGAAATTTTCAGCAATAAGAAACAATTAGTTATACTATGCTGGAGTTTAGGAGGGAGTTTTTACACTAATTTATATATACTAGAAATAAAAAACACAATTATACTGTAGCTATACTAGAGAAATTTTTTATACTGTAGCTATACTAGTAGGAATGTTAATTAGTTAGGGTGAGTCTTACGGGGAAACTCTTTCTGGGATGGGAGAACTCTATGGGCTGCTGTGCTTGTCTCTTGCAGGGCCATTTCTTTGCTTTTTCTCTCATCAGTGGGCTTATCTCGTTTTCTGCTCTGTTTTTTCAGTGATGAAATGCATGCTTAAAAGAACCATTTTTTGTATCTTTATGGAAAAGAGTGTGGGAGATACAGAAGCACATTTTGAGGATGTGAAGATTCTGAGTGTAATTTCCGCGGAGGAAATCTCCTGTACGCTGCCCAGATTCTGCAATGGGGATCCGCACGAAATGGCTGCGTCTATATACCCACTACTGGACAGAGTCTGTGTCTCTTTCCGGGAGAAGTCCGGGAAAGTGCCGAAGTCCGTGGAGGAGGCAGTTTGCGTCATTATAAGGACGCTCATCCACGAGGAAGTAGTGCAGCACTGCAGGAGACTCATACACGCTCTGAAAGAGAGAACTGTTCCCAAAATGTGCGGGACTTCTGTCGTAGAGTCACTCCATCGCGAAATATCCGAGTGCATCGCATGCGTGAAAAAGTCCTCGCAGAAGATAGAGCATCTCCAGGAGAAAAAAGAGTCTCTGGATAGGCGCGTACTGCCTGTAATTGCGATTATCTCCCATCTAAACGCGATGAAGGAAGAGTGTGCAAGAAAAACAAAAGCCTACAGAATCCAGGCCCGAGAGGATGCGATAGCCGAAAAAGTGTACAGAGAAGAAAATCCTGGAGACTTTTCAGAAAATAGACTCGACACGAAAGCATCCCCCAGGAGAAAGTGCGCGTACGACCGAGAAAAAGCCCGGGTGAGAGCGTGTCTGGAGGATCTCGGGGAGAGAGACTGCTTCCTACAGCTGCTTCTCTGGCACGCGAAGCGAATTCTTGCCCTGTACTCCGCCCGGAAGAAAAGTCTCCAGGAAGAGACTGAAAAAGCAGAGAATTTCCGAGAGAAAAAAGTTTCATCGCTTTCCGCCCTAAACAAAGACCTCTGCAGCAGAACATATCCCCACGGGAGTGCTCTGTGGGGGATAAAGATACGTCGGACTATCTCCCGCAAGAGATTCTCCAACTGCGAGGAAGATCCGCAGTTTCTTGTTCTGTACGAAGACCTTCTCTCTGCGCAGGTGACTCCCGAAGTAAAGCGGATTCTTGGGGGGTGCAGGAACTTGGAGGAAGTCCACAGAATAGCTCTGGAGAGGGAGAAGGCAGTGCATCTCCAGACTCTGCAGGTCTTTTCCCGCATATATCACGAGCCATCTCCCGTGGGATTCTTCTCCTCCCAGAAGGCAGTTCTTCTGGAGAGTGTTTCTGCAGGGACTTCTCCACGGGGAAAAGATTTGGAGACTTTTCAGAAAATAAACTCTGCAGAAATTCCTTCTTCCAGGAGAGAAAGTCTCCTGGGATCTGGGGATGTTCTTTTCCCGTGCGAGGGAAAGTGCGAGGAGACCTGCAGTGATAGTTGCTTTGGCCGCGAATTCTTCGTGAATTACCTGATTTCCGAGTGGGCTGGGAGGCACTTGCAGGAAAAAACGGAATTTAAGTGCAGGGAAGTGCCTGGAGAGTGTGGGAAGCCGTTTGAAGAGCCTTTGGAAGAAGATGCCCCTTTCTGGTGGGCGTCCTCTGCGGGGAGGACTTCAACCCTGAACTTTCTCGTTGATCTCCTGGGGGTTTTCGGGAGAGACGATGAAAGTGACGAGGAAACGCTCGGGGGAGTCCTCGAGAAGATGCGCGACCTAATGCGGAAGAAATACGTCGAGGTCTCCGAGTACACTGAAGAGTTCCAAGGGAATGTGAACGTATCCCTGAAGACGCGAGTAGAAGTGGACTTTACGGAGGAGTATACGCTGCAGATTATCCCGTGCATGGGGAGAGTGGATGTACTTGAGCGAGTATCCGGCCCAGATGGAAGCGTCTGGAAAGAGCCTGTTTCCGACGGGAATACTTTGTTCAACGACTTTTCCCGAAGGAGGAAGCTTCCCCAGGAATTTTCTTCCTTTTCCTTCAGGGACAGCTCAGAGAAGGGCTCAGAGCAGGAGCTTGACGTGAAGTGCGTTCGATGCGTGCGCGGGTTCGAACCCCGGGATAAAAAAACGATGAATCCCCAGGAGAAGTCCAGAGCATCTCCCGTGCCTGCGGATGAGAGCAAAAACTCTGAAGGCTCGGGTTATTCGGGGTATCTGGAGGATGTGAAGGGGGAAAATTTCAGCAGGAAAACTGACGGGAATATTCCCCTGCAGATTTTCCACGGGGAAGGGTCTAATACGTGGATTCAGCCTCCTCCTTTGAAGAGGAATCTCAGCACTTCCGTGCCAAGCTCTCCTGCAAAGAGAAACTCCCTGTACTCAAAGGCCACGTACCTTCTGCTCCCACTTTCTCTTGGGGTGGCCTTCATCTGCTCTCTTTACAGGCTGAATAGGAGAATCCCGTGGGAGAACGAGAAGTGAATTCTCTCAGGCTTAAGCAAATAGTAGTACTTTGCACTGGAGATTCTCGCAATAATAGATCTACAATACGAATTATTTTTAGTTAGAGTTTTGCATCTGTAAGTTATTTTTATAGTTTATTCTACGCTGAAAGCATAGTTTATTCGGGCTATTGCATAAGAGACTAATAAAGGTACTCCAGAAGTAGAAGATTAGGGAAAATACAGAGATCATAAAGTATTTAAGCGGGTCGAAAAAGAATAAAGAACAATGGTTCTAAAGCTATCTTCCTGTGTTACAACTGTCTTAATCATGTCTTCTTATCTCTTAATACTCGCCTTCTTAATACTTATCCATTGTCTTCTTGTGATATCATAATACATATACACTGTCTTCTTATTCATTGTCTTTCTTTTCTTCTTTTCTTTCTTATCTTCATATCCACTGTCTTTCTTTTCTTCATAATCTTTCTTTCTTTTCTTCATAATCTTTCTTTTCTTCTTATATTCTTCTTATCCTCATATCTTCATAATCTTTCATATCTTATTCTTATCCTCTTTTCTTCTTATTCATTACCTTTCATATCCACTGTCTTTCTTTCTTTTCTTCATAATCTTTCTTTCTTATGATGGGCTATTTATGGTATGTATTTATGGTACAATAGTCTTTTCTCTCGTGTTTTTTTTATGTCTCCGAATGTTCTTGTAATAGCAGGCGCAAGTGGCTCTGGGAAGTCTACGATAGTCAGGCACATACTGAGGAAGTACTCTGGGCTGTTCAGGGCTTCTGTCTCGTATACGACGAGAATCCCCCGGGAGAGGGAAGTTAACGGGGTAGACTACCACTTTGTGACGCAGGAAGTCTTTCTAAGGAAAGTCCAGGCGGGAGAGTTCGTGGAGCATGCAGAGTACGCTGGAAACTTCTACGGGACAGGAAAAGAGTACTCCTGCCCCGGGGAAGAGAAAGTTCTCCTCCTGGAAATTGAGAAGAAAGGCGTCCAAAGCATAAAGTCCTCGGGAATGGATGCAGTGTATATGTACATATACGCCCCCATGAGTGTCCTCCACGAGAGAATCTCCCAGCGAGCGATAATCACGCAGGACGAGCTCAGCCGGAGGCTTATGAAGGCAAAGGAGGAAAACATGTACGGGAGTACGTCTGAGTTTGACGTACTCGTAGAGAACAATCTCCTGGAAGAGGCACTTTCTAAGGTTGATGACTTCATAGAAAGGACTTGGAAAGTGCAGAGGGCGTGAGGATAATACACGTATGTCATGTGTTGGATAGTGTCACGTGATATGTATGTCATGTATGTCACGTATTGGATAATGTCATGTGTTGGATAATGTCATGTATTTCACATATTTCACGTATTGGATAATGTCATGTATTTCACGTATTTCATGTATGTCATGTATTTCATGTGTTGGATAATTTCATGTATGTCATATATTTCATGTATTTCACGTATTGGATAATGTCACGTATTTTACGTATTTCACGTATTGGATAATGTCACATATGTCACGTGTTGGATAGTGGCTTTTCATTCTCCTTGTCTTGAATGCTCTATATGCTGTAATAGTTAGTCTGAGTGTGCAATTGCTTTTTTATTCGGAGAGTTTTCTTCTTGTCTTGAACGGTCTGATACTGCCTTCTCTGAATAACTCAAAATATTCTCAGGAAGAGTCCTCTATAACCCGAATAATCCAATATTCCTATCTCCCACCCCCGTATCTTTTCTTCTCTGAATAACCCGAATCATTCCCATTGGTTCTTTCCGAGGCAGCTTTTAATTCTTTTTATTCTTTATTTGCATGGAAATATCCCGGAGCATACAAGTGCTTAGCAAGGCTATTTCTGCGTTTATGTCGGGGCACTCTGGAGAGTCTGCGCTTCTTCATCGCCTCCCCCCCGAGGCAAGTAACGAAGTAAATTCCGAGAACAAAATAGAGAGCGACATTGAGCGCCTGGGCTTCTGCGTCTTCAGCGAGGACGGGTCCACTCTGCAGCCGATAGACAAAACGAGCACTCCCATCCAGCACCTCCGGACAATTGCAGGCAAACTCTTCGCTATAGACGAGTACTATCAGGAGGTGATGGACTTTCTGATTCCGATCATATATACGGAAGTACAGGCAAATCCCGAGATATCCTACTCCTGCGTGGAGAGAGAGTGCATTCTTATATACGAGACCTTCCTGTATCCGTATCTTCGGGACAGTTACCGCCTCGCCCTGAAGCAGGAGCACGTTCTCCGAGGGATTCCGGGATACTACATTGGAAAGCCTGTTGAGCTCCGGGAGATTGAGGGGATTCTCGTGGAGTTAGCGAGCACTGCGCTGTGGTTCAGCCGGACCTTTGCGTATCCTGATCTTGTCTATGTATATGCGCATCTTCTGGGGGGTCGTTTACACCGTGTGTATCTCTTCTTTCTTGCGTCTATTAAGATCATACGGGAGCGAGAGAAGAAGTCTAACGGATTCAGCCTGTGCGATGTGAAGGGGGTTCTTGGGGCTGAGAAAATGGGGTCTCTTGTGCGACGGAGCGAGGAATTGGAGGGTTCTGTTGGGGGTCGGTTTCTTTCCGGGGGGAATTCTGTCGGGGGGAGTCGTCGGTTTCTTTTTCTTGCGGGGGCTGGAGTTTTAGCTGCTGTTTGTGCTGGGCTGCTGCTGTATCGGGAGAGGCGGAAGTAGGGAATAAAGGGGATTTATTGGGTATTTTGTGTAAAAAGCGCTTCCAGTCGGATTCGAACCAACGGCCTTTCGGTTAACAGCCGAACGCGATAACCAGCTACGCCATGGAAGCCTCTTTTTGGGTGTTGTGGGTGTGTGTGGTGTTCTGTCTAGTTCAGGGCCTTTGCTACTATGGAAGTATCTGTTGTGTGGGCGTAGTTTTGGAGTTCTGCGAGGGGGGATGGGTCTATGCTGTTATTTGGGGCGAGTTCGAAGACTCTTCCTGCTGCCGTGAGGAGTGTGAATTTGGAGTTTTCTGCTGCTGCGTCGACGACTTCTTCCTGGGGGAGGACTGGGAATGCGGGGAGGGTGCCTTCTCCGGAGTGGGGGATTTTTACGAGGAGGGTCTTACCTGGGGATATGAGGAGGAGGAAGTCTCCTGCTGCGAGTATCTTTTTTACTGCGGGGGAAGTCTCTGTGTTTATGTTTGGGATGTTTGCTGGGTCCTGTACGCCTGGGAAGTTGAGATTTTTAACGGATTTCAGGGTCAGGGTTTTCAGGTCCAAAATTTTTGTTTTTTTTGTGTCGAGGGAGTAGATGGAGAGATACGGGTCGTATCCGCCTGCGACTATGCATCCGTGCAGGAGAGTTGCAGATAGGATGGGTCTGCTGTGGAGGAGGACGTACTCTTCTATCCTATGGGGGTACTCCTTGTTTGTGATGCGGATTTTACTGTCTTTATCTGAGGTTATGATAAAATTACCTGATATTTTCATTTCTGTTATCAGGGAGATAGATCCGAAAATATGCTCTGGGATATTCGGGGATTCTGGAGTGTGGGGTTTACTGTGCATTCTGTATACGGCTCCTGTTCTGTCTGTTACGTATAAGCAGCCGCTCTCTTCTGCGAGGATGCTGGGAGTCTTCTGGAGGGTTCCCAGGAGGCGGACTGTCTCGTTCTCTACGTGGAGGACTTCTTTTTTCTCCGTTAAAATGTACGATTTCTCTATGAAAAGGGCTTTGCTGTGGAGGGGAATGTCCGTTCGCTTTCCGTCTGTGAATTTGTGCAGGGTTTCTCCGTTGAGGATCAGGAGGGAGTTCTCTACTTGGGTGATTGTGGAAAGCATGGTCTGAAAAATAAAAAAATAAAAAATAGACTTTCTCTTGGAAGATAGTTTTATGGGGAGAGTGCCAGGATTAGTCTTTTCAGGGTGGGAATTTCTGCGGGGTCATGCGGCAGGAGGAGAGAACTTTCCGAGTTTTCAGAGAGTGTGCTCTAAGAGTGCCTTTTCCCGAGGATACAGCACTTCCCAGCGCACATGCCAACTCCTCCACAAGAGGCAGCTGCAAAAGAATAGTAAAGAATGAGTAAAGAATGAATGGGTAAGGAAGTAAAGTAAAATAGTAAAATAGTAAAGAAGTAAAAGAATAAAAGAATGAAAAGTAAAAGTGTGGTGAATTATTGGAATCACCACAAAGTTGGAGACGGCACGATCAACTTGAGGTAATTTCACAGGATCTGAAGCATAAAACTAAATAGTGATCGTTTACAAAAGTATAAATACGCAGACGATTTTTAGTAAAAGAGAGCAGAAGAAAATGGCAAGAAATATGAATATGCACTATTCAAGTCAAGCAAAGGTCGATCGCCGGGATTCTCCAAAGATTAATAAATCTTTATTGGAGCTTGTATTAGACCAAACACAAAAGGAAACCCGGAAATACGACAAAAAGAATGAGTAAGTAAAAGAATGAAAGAATAAAAAGGAGTAAAAGAAGTAAAAGAAGTAAAAGAAGTAAAGAAGTAAAGAAGTAAAAGAAGTAAAAGGAGTAAAAGAATGAGTAAGTAAAAGAATAAAAGAATGAAAGAAGGAAGACTCTGCCTGAATAATAGCCTGAATAACAGCCTGAATAAACTTTCTAATAATCTATGCGATTCTCTTTATTTCGGGTAGGAAATCCCTGAATTACGCCTACTCTACACTCACTGCCTTATCCTTAATACTGCACACTCTCTGGGGCTACTATAGAACTCTCCTCCGTCTTCGTATCATCGTCTGTCTCCTTGTACACTCTATTGTATATTCTGTACGTACTCTCCAGCTTCCTGCTGAGTGACTTATTCAGGGCCTTCAGGCTTCCTATCGCCTCCTTTCTCTCGGACTCCATCTCCTTCATAAGCTTAATCTCCTCTCCTGCTTCAAGGACCTGCATCTCCAGGCGGTGACACTCTTCCTCGAGGGAGGCTCTCTCTTCCCTGTGCTCGTTCAGTTCCTGCCTGAGGAGACTCTCTGCTTTTACGCGGGACTTCAGCTCCTCGAAGTTCTTCCGTATGATCTCGTTCGCCTTCTTCAGGTCCTCCTCCAGGACTCGGCTCTGCTTCTGGAGTCTCTCGTTCTCCCGAACTGCCTCCTCCTCGCGTGAAAGGGCCTCTTCTGCCCTTTTCCTCGCACTTTCCTGCTCTGCCTCTTCCCTCTCCCGGATATTCCTCCTCTCCTCGTCCCTTCTCCTCGCACTTTCCTGCTCTGCTTCTTCCCTCTCCCGAATTCTCCTGATCTCCTCCCGGAGTCCTGCGCTTTCTCTTTCAGCACTTTCCTTTTTCCGCGTGATTTCACTGAGTATTTCTGCTGCGTATCCCCTGTACTCCGCCTCTGATATCTTGTGCAGGTTCAGCTCCAAGTGCAGGATGTTTCGGAAGGGGTTTCTCTCGATGATTTTCACGCTTTCATCTACTTCCATGTAGAGATCTCCCCTCTGCACTCTCTTCAGGAGATCGCACAGGGCACGCACGAATCCAGCGTAATCCACGCGTATGCTCTGCCTCTCCTTCACGGCGAAGTACTCTGACTCTGTCAACCGGCAGAGAAAGATCGTAAAATTCCTGGGGTCGTACATCTTCATCTGAAAAGTCTCTTCTCTCCGCGTGATCTCGCACGAGAATTCACTTCTTCCGGAGGCACTCACTGCAGGGACTCTTCCTGTAAACAGAATTTCCCTCATAAATAAATAATTTGCATTTCTAAAGAATGGACGAAGTAATTCCCGTGGACATGGCGGAGAGAGAGGTAGAGATTCGCCCGAAGGAGGCACAGAAGAGGAGGAAAGTAACGGATGCGTACAATGTGGAGGATCCCTTCTTTGAGGAGGATAAAGTAGTTGGAGCCTTTGAGTGCACGTACAGGAACTTCTACTGCCTCTCCGGGGAGGCTCCAGAGAATTTCGGGGTGGAGAGGGAGAGAAAAGAAGCCTCTGAGAAGAAGGAGAAGAGGGAGATAAGCCGTGAGAGGTACCAGATAAAGAAGATGGAGGCTCTGGAGAAGTGCCATTCCGTGGGACCTGAGGAAGTGGACTCTTTTGCCCGGGATCTTGTCGTTTTGGAGGTTCTTACATCGCAGGATCTGAGCGCAGAGAGTCTCCTGGAGGAGGTGAAGGAGAAAATTCCCGGGGGAAATCCGCGTCTTTTCGAGGGAATTCGGCACTGGATGGGAGAATCTGGCCTCAGGAAGATCCAGGACGGAGCAGAAGCGCAGGAGAGAGAAGCCCTCGAGAGGGTGAAGGAGGAAATTTCAAGGCGAGTGAAGGAGAAAAAAGAAGAGAAAATTGTGTTTGATGATGAATTACTCGATGTTCTTGCGGGGTATGTGGAGGTGCAGTATCTGCTCTTTTACGTGCGTCTTTTCTCCTCTGGGAAGAAGCGAGTTCTGGAGCATAAGGTCAAGAAGAATATTGTGAAGGAGTTGCAGGAAGTTTTTCCTGTGGGCTGCAGAAGTGCTTCTTTGGGGAAGAAAATAGCGTCTTATGTCACGAAGAAAAGCAAGGGCGGAGGTGCTAAGAGGGCGGTTAAGGAGAGCGATGAGAGCGAAGGGAGCGAGGAGAGTCGGGGGGAGGATTTGCCTGGAGGAGATGGAGAAAGCCCGAATAATAACCCGAATAACCTGGTAGTTGATAGAGAGGAAAAAAGTGAAAAAACAGGGATCTTGGAAGGATCTGTGCCTGAGAGTGCGGGAGAAGAGCTCTCTCTGGGGGGAGAGAGTCTTTTGAGTGCGGGGAGTGCGGGGGAGGAGTCTGGGCGGGCTCCAGAGAGTGCCTTCGGGGGAGGACTCCCGGAAACTCCAGCACCGCCTGCGAGGGGGAAGCGGGGGATAAAGCGGAAAAATGCGGTAGAAGATCTCCGGGCGGGGGAAGAGCTGGGATCTGCTCCGGAGGTTCAGAGTGTGGACCCGAGCAAGATCTCAAGTGGGCCTGCGGGGGAGAAGGAGAGTCTTACGAGCAAGCGACAGAAAAGAAGCCCCAGCAGCTCAAAGAAGGGCCAGGGGAAGCGCAAGCCCCCGGTGGAGGGTTCGAATACCCCGAATAACCCGAAGGCAGAGGCAGAGACTCTAAACGGGTCTGACTTGGAGACTGTAGAGGCGCAGGAGGTTCTAGATACAACAGAATAAACCACAGTATTTATTATACAGTATAGAATAAACCACAGTATTTGTTAGGCAGTATAGAATAGGTCATGCTGGCTGCTGCACTGTATAGTATATGCTGCTGTGTTTATTATATCATATGGAGTAATTTCTGGTACTTGTTATATCATATGGAGTAACTGCTGCTGTGTTTATTATATCATATGGAGTAATTTCTGGTACTTATTATATCATATGGGATAACTGCTGGCACTTATTACATCATATGGAGTAACTGCTGGTACTTGTTGGCATTCTCTGGTACTTATTACATCGCATGGAGTAAATAATGGATTTGAGCTCTCGTCATTTGTTGCACAGTGTGTTATAGATGCTCATTTGGAAAAATTAAAAAGTGTTAGTATTTGTTTATTTTACTCTTTTTGCTTAGAGTGTGCAACAGAAATGTAAAGTATAAATAGATGGAAACCACAATGTCCCATGGAACATCCCAGAAGATCCAAAACAGACAAAATATTCAGTTCTTCCGCCCTGCAGCACTGCGAAGGGGGAAGGCCTGCCGTGCTCCAGAAGATGGTGGAGGCCCTTGGCGGGGCCGTGCAAGAAAGCGTTGGAGAAGCCCGAATAACCCGAGCCCCGGAAGAATCTGCAATCTTTTTCCCTGCAGAAGAAAACAGGGCTCTCCAGGAAGTTCTTGCAGGCACTGTGAAAGAAATGGAAGAGTTCCTTCACAGCCCGGAATTCGCTAACTCTGTGCGCGCATATGCAGTGCCCGCATACAACCAAGCACTTTTGGAGCTTTCTGGCTCTTCACCCGATGCCGCCGGAAATAGAAAAAATTTGCTGCACCTGAAGAAAGTCAAAAAGCACGTTTACCAGATGATGAAAACATCTGCTGGCTTTTTGGAGTTGGTCATCTTCCAGAAAGTGATTGCGCTTTCTGAGTACCTGAAATTCCATGAAAAAATCGAGGCACTTTCCCTCACGGGGACCCCCCTTCTAAGTAGCGCCCTGTGGGAAAAGTTTTCCCCGAATTTTTCCATGGAGAAAGTCGAAGAAAGAAAAAAAGAAATACAAAATCTCGACCGCGAACTCGAAGGCTTTTTTTCCTGGGAGGAGTCCCTCTGGGGAGGAGAAGCCTGCAGAAATAGAAAGGGCGGAGAAAGATCCGAAGTAACCCTGCTGACATGCGAGAAATTGCAGAAGAAAGTCCTGGAGTACGCTGGGGAGAGGATAAAGGGCCTTATCGACGAAAAACTAGCCAATCTCTCACGGGGGGGCAGTAAGCCCACGGAAACCCGGGACTCTAGCGTGGAAAAGGGTCTTTCTAGTGGGAAACTCAGCAGAAGCAGCGTCTTCAGGGAAGAGGGAGAAGAATTGCTCAGAGGCAGCATATACTCGGGTTATTCGGGCTTTGGCATACGGTCCTGCGATCTTATACGCAAGCAGACTGCAGACTGCGAATTAGTTGCGGATATTTTAGCGAGCCTGGAGGAAGAGGAGAAGAGTATAGAAGATCTATGGGGAAGGTTCGACTCCGCCCAAAGGGAAAATGCATATCTTTTCAGGCACACTGAGGAACTGCAAAAGTACAAAGTGCACCTGGAAATGTATGAGCAAAGATTCCGCACGAGGCGTATCTCTGTGATGGACTCGCTTAATCTACTGGAAGCAGCTGCTGATGAGGCGTGCCAGAAAGCTCTGAAATGGAAAATAGGTGAACCTGAAAAAACTGGTTTTTCCCAAAAAGGAAATGTCCACCTGAAAGAAATTCTCGCTCGAAACCCCGCCCTTTTTTTAACTGACGCAGTGGAAAGTGCCAGATTCAAAATCAGGCAAATCGACGCCCTGATCCAGGCCGTTTCCATGCAAAGGCCCGGAGAGCTAGAGTGTGAGTACGTTTTCAGGCTTTCCCCGAATAACCCGAATCAAAATTTTTCAGAGTGTCCAAGCAGCTCTCTGGAGATTACAGAGATAGATGCCCGAATCCACGCGCACGAACTGTCTCTGAGCTTTCTGTCGAAGAGGATAACCCAAATGAAAAGCAAGGAAAACTATACCAAGTCCCTCGTGGATCTGGAGGGTTTTGAGACAAACGAGTACTCGTTTATCGAGGGAATTATAAGCCTAAAGGAGCAGAGGGAGAGAAAGACGTGCGAGATGGGAGAAAGCCCGAATAACCCAGCGTATAGAGAAATTGGAAGCCGTTCGCGGATTCTCGAGCTGGTCCAGCACAAGGCCCTTCTTCAGTGCAAGATCGAGTCCTTCAAGGAAGAGCTTAAAAGAACAGAGAAGCTTTCTGACTTGGAGAGAAAGGAGTGGGTTATTGAGCAGGTTATAAAGAAAGCACCCGAAATATTCTTTAGTCCTGATATGGCGAGCTCCTTCTTGGAATTCAAAAAGGCAGTACCTGACGTTTTATCTCGTGCAGAAAGAACGCGGGAAAACGAAAAGACGCGGGAGAAGACGGAAAGAAGAGCATCGGTTATATCCGCTGTTCAGAAGACTCTGATCGCGATCGTGTTCGTTCTTGGCGCAGTCTCTGCGGGCACTGCGTACGCGCGCATTTCCGGAGAGTAAATAAAAAATTCTATTTACAGTATGTGCTTATTTATTGCAGAGTGGGCATAAAATGTGCTATTTTCTGTGTAGTAGGTGGAAAGCCCTGCTATTTGTGCTATGCTGTGCATAAAGTGCTGCACTGCGCCTGTCTGTTATTTGCTGCCCCGTGGGTGTAAAATGCCAGCTGTTGCATGGTGTGCACATTCTCCATTTAATATACGAGTTGTAATACAGGAAGTGCTAAGTGAAATTCACGGCCTTTATTTTGTATTGGAGTGCTTAGATAGACATTATTTAATTTGTCTCATAGTATCCGAATTCTGTTGACTCTTTAATTACCTCGAATAAGCAATAACTAATTACGAACAACTATGCTTTCACCATACAACAATACGCTATGTAAAAAATGCCTGCAAGTCTTTATTCTGACTTTTCATACAGCGTGCAGTAAATGATGCTGTGTGCTGAGAGCATATCTACTCCCAAACTGCTATTTCTTGTTCGGGCCTAATTAAGAGGCTGCATAACTTAGACATTATGGGATATATTAAATACACAGATATTTAACCACTTTGAGAAATAGTGAAGAGTACACGTTCATTTAACACTTCCGCTTTTGTAACTAATCATATTTTTCAAAGTATAAATAGAAAGTAAAATTCAAAAAGCATGAATAATAACAGACACATCAACTTAGATATAGATACACTGAAGCACGAGCTACAGCAAGAGACAGCAACCCCCAAAGCAAAAGACTCACTCGCAGTCTTTGCAGTGCTTTCTTCCCGCATAAAAAACTCCTTCGAAGACGTCCCAGAGGAAAAGCGTGCTGAAGTCAGTGCGCTTGTGGACGCTTTCCTGCAGGAAAACCTTAAAAACACATTCAGCACGATAATTAATGCACAGTGTGCAGCAATTCCTGAAACAATCAAAATCCTCACGAAAGAAGTCGCATACGAAGTCCCTCTCGAACGCACACGAGAACTCTTCAATCTAAGCAGAGAAATACAGATTTTCATTCTACAGCAGGAGATCGAATACAGAAACTTCTCTATGCAAACTGTCAGAAAAAAGATCAAACTGTATAATTACTGCAAGGAAGCCCAGCAATACACCATTTCCCGCTGCACGGAGATACTCCAGAACAAAACAATAGAAAAATTCGACAAGACCAAGCTCGAACGTGCCCTCGCCCTGGACACTGAAGAATTAAAATCCATCGATAAGAGCTTAAACAGTTTCCTGAAGACAGAGGAAGAAGAAATAGCTGCTCTAGAAAAGACTATGATGAACCAGTATATATTGTGTGCTAAAGAAATTATTTTAGATTTAGAAAAGTACGCTTTAAATCGGATAGTTGAGAAGTTTAGAGCGCATCTTTCCAATGACAGGCTAAGACCTAACGTATATTTTTACCTGAAAGAATTAACGGAAAATAACGGCAAGTATATACAACTAGACCAGATAGAGGCTTTGGAAAAGCAGGGGATGAATAGCCCATATGTTTGCTTACATAGAGGAAGGATCAGTGAGTATCTGGCAGAAAAGACGGGCCTAAGTAAGATAGAGGCCATGGTTGAGTGTGTGAAGGAAGCGAATGATTCGGCTCGGCATTCGTTAATTTCCGGACGTAGACATTTTAAAAATATAATAACCGGGAAATCAGCCATTTTTATGGTGGATCTATTGTATAGTGCTATGAAAATGATGAAAGAAGACTTGCAAGAACCTGAAAAAACGGAAATGGAAGAGTTTTTGAAGGTTCTGGTGGAATTTTCTAGCGGGCTAATCTCGATTCGGAACAGCTCCTTCAAAGAACTGGACGGGATCGAGGACACCTTGGAAATAGACCATACACTGGAGAAGCTGTCAGATACTCGCGTGAGAAACAAATTTGCGCGCTTTAACGATGATTTTAGGAAAATACAGGAGAAATTTCCAATTGGGGAGATAGAATCAGGTTATGAAAAGGCTTTTTATGCTCTGAAAACCCATCCACGCACAAAACACGAAACGGCAAGGCAGATGCACAGAAACGCCATGGAGGCAGAAGAGCATCTTAAAAGGCTGCGGGGGGTTGATGAAGGAACAACCAGAAAAGACTGTGATCTTAGGGTTGCAGAGTATGAAAAATTTGCAAGGGAAACGGAAATGCCTGATTCGGGTTATTCAGGTGCTATCGAGAACATAACGCGTGAAAGCCTGGAAGATGGAGTTACTCCGCGTGAGGTCAAAGCTATGCTCTCAAATATGAACATGCTCCATGACATATGGACTGAAGAGCTGGAAGATGAGACCAAGGAGTCTGAGAGAGTAGAATTGAAGAAAAGTCTATCGGAAACTGAAGAAAAGATACGGATTCTTAACCAGAAACTGCTTTCATTTGCGGATTTAAGCAAGGAAGAAGCCCAAAAGGAAGAGTGTCTCCGTTACGCTTATCTGACAAAGTATAAGAATGAGTGTCTTAAGCATATAGACGTACTTAAGAAGGAGGCAGAGGCTGAAATGGTCCCACTGGCTAGGGAAGTTATGCGGAAAATTGAAGAGATCCCGAATAACCCGGAGCTCAGTGAAAAAGTGGAACAAATGCTTGAAGAAATCATTGAGAAGGAGCCCCACCGTCTGCTGACTTCGAAGTTTATCGCCGAAAACGAATACTTTTGGGATGAAATGCCAAAGATGGTAGATCAGCTCGACAAGAAGATAGCTGAAACTTTGGGTGAAGCTTCAGATGAAGCTGTAGATGAAGCTGTAGATGAAGCTGCAAATGAAGCTGCAGATGAAGCTGCAAATGAAGCTGTAGATGAAGCTGTAGATGAAGCTGCAGATGAAGCTGTAGATGAAGCTGCAGATGAAGCTGCAGATGAAGCTGTAGATGAAGCTGCAAATGAAGCTGTAGATGTAAGAACTGGTGGAAACCGCAAGTACCACCTTACGCTTCAAAATTCGATCCTCGCACTTTTCTTCATCTTTATGATTCTGTCTCTAGGCCTGGTGTGCAATTCGGAATTCGCGTGAGAAAAATAAAAAAATAAGCCCATTTACTGTTCTGTGTCTATAAAGTACTGTGCTGCTGACATCTGCCATTTATTTCACAGTGCATAGAAAGCATTGCGCTGCTGTCATCTGTCAGTTGTTGCACACTGTATACTATATGCTCTTTGTTGCGCGATGTGCAGCAAGTCCTGTCATTTAGCACACACTGTACAAAAAATAGTGCCAAATATTTACTTTTATTTTCCACAAACTGCGTGATAAATGATATTTTCAAGATAAATGATATTTTCAAAGCATAAATACTCAGAAGTTTTTAGAGGGCATGGGAAAATACCAACACATCAACACATCTCTATACGATCTGAAATACCATATGCTGATAGACACAGTAAACTCTAAAGCAAAAGACCCGATAAGCACTCTCTTAGAAGTGCTCTCTTCCCGCATAAAACACTCCCTCAAGGATATCCCAGAGGAAAAGCTTGCAGAAATTGAAGCATTAGTAGACGCTTTCCTGCAGGAGCGTCTAGACCCGGTATTAACCAACATAGCCAAAAGACACTGTGCAGTAAGTCCTGAGATCCTGGAAATCCTCAAGAAGGAAGCCATAGCAGAAGCTCCCTCCGAATTCTTATACGGTCGTTCTGCCTTAAGCACAGAAATAGACTA